TGTTGGTGATGTTGACCATGGGCCCATTATTGCAGGTGACAAGAGACAGACAGAGACAGACAGAGAGAGAGAGGGAGTGTCGTGACCAAGCCTACACGTGCGGGCCGAGAAGTTAGACCAAATGTGGAGAGAAAAATGATTGCCGACCTTTGACTCCGGACTGTCTGGTTCAATACCCCGGATTCTTTACACCGCGTCGGTTGAATAACGCCAGATAAGATTGCTGTTATATTATTCCGGACACACTCCTACTCATGTGAAATACTCACATCGACCACCGGTTCAAAATTTCTCCTTCGCGCATGAATCCTGGGCACGATGTTAGCCGAGTGGCGTTTTTCCCGGTTAACCGAGTCCAGTCTATCGGAGTCTATTCAGCATCATGACCAATAGATCGATTGACCAGAGGGACTCGGTTCATCCCCGGTAACGTTGGGCGCTCAGCCAAGATTCCGAACGGGATACGCGTTGTGACGTCGTACTCGGGAGGCCTACGAAAAGGTCTCTGAGACGGTGACGCAGGAAGAAGAATGAACCCTCTAAGAAAACCGGTCAAATTAATTCCAAGTCTCGTCATGCCATCCATTCGCGATTCAAGATGCATCGTGCGTCTCGGTTAAATAGCCATTCATCCGAAAGCGCAGCTCACCAAGAGGGAAAATCTCCGTTTGGAATCAACCGAGTGGATAAGTCCCTGGAAGGCTCTCCACACCGTGACGCTGTTGATTTGTCGAATCTCCATGTTCTCCATCGTACTCCGTGGGTGTCCCCCGGACCTCCACATTCTCTCGACGGCCGATCCCTTCTTTTTACGGGTCGCCCGCCGGTCCAATGTCTCGCCCGTTCAAGCCATACCAACCTATGCAGTCGCTGTTATATAAAGCTTCTCCAGGGGTCTTCGGGTCAAGCTCTTTCGGACGAACCCAACGTGGCCGCTAATTCTAGGGTTTAGTTACTGGCCAAGATGTATCGGATTACAAACATATATGGTATACCAGGAGACCCAAAGTGACTGGCCAATACGAGATAACTGACGCGATTATAGTGCTCGCCGCTTTTGGCACCATTGGAGGTGCCCTTTTCGGTTTTGATGTCAGGTAAAGAAGCATGGCGATGTTACTTTCTCCTCAAGATGATTCTGACTCGGGAAAACAGTTCTATGAGTGCCTGGATTGGCACGAAACAGTATCTCGACTACTTCAACAGCCCTGACTCCAACTTACAAGGTGGTGTATGTATAATCTCCTCTCATGCCGGTCGTCCAGATGGCGAATATTGACTCGCTGCCGTTTAGATCACCGCTTCCATGTCCGCGGGTTCCTTTGCCGGCGCCATCGCTGCTGGTTGGATCTCTGATACCGTGGGTCGTCGGATGTCCCTCATGATCGCGAGTGTGATCTGGATTATTGGTTCCGTCCTTCAGCTTAGCGCACAAAATGTCGCGCATCTGGTTGTCGGACGTGTCGTCAGTGGTCTCTCTGGTTCGTACCTACGATCACTCCTCTGGCACCTTCTCAGACTAACCAGCCTTGATAGTGGGTATCACTTCCTCCCAGGTCTGTGTGTACCTTGCAGAATTGGCTCCCGCTCGCATTCGTGGTCGCATCGTCGGTATCCAGCAATGGGCCATCGAATGGGGTATCCTGATTATGTATTTGATTTCCTACGGCTGTGGAAAGGGCATCGCTGGCCCAGCCTCGTTCCGCGTCGCTTGGGGCATCCAAGCCGTCCCCGGTCTCATTTTGCTGTTGGCCCTTCCGTTTTTCCCCGAGTCACCTCGTTGGCTGGCCAGCAAAGAAAGGTGGGAAGAGAGTCTGGACACGCTAGCGATGCTACACGGTAACGGCGATCGCAACGACCCCGTCGTGCAGGTCGAATGGGAGGAAGTGCAGGAGGCTGTGCGTATTGCTCATGAAGCCAAGGACGTGACTTTTCTCGCTCTCTTTGGACCTAAGGTCTGGATGCGCACCATGTGCGGTGTCAGTGTGCAGGTGTGGCAGCAGTTGCTCGGTGGTAATGTTGCTATGTACTATGTCGTCTACATCTTCAGTATGGCCGGCATGGTGAGTCCGATGTCTTCCCCCGACCCAGCAAATGTTGCTGGCTAACGCAACCTTCCAGGACAACAACGCCACTTTATATTCCTCCGCGATTCAGTACGTGATTTTCCTTGTGACAACCGGTGTCGTTCTCCCATATATCGACCGCATTGGCCGCCGTTTTCTACTGCTATCGGGTGCCGTCGCCTGCATGATCCTTCATTACGCTATTGCTGGTGTCATGGCCAGCTATGGTAATCCGGTCGACCAGATCGATGGTAACGCGAATCTGCGATGGGAAATTAAGGGAGCGCCAGGCAAGGCCGTCATTGCCCTCTCGTACATCTTCGTCGGTGTTTATGGCCTCACTTGGGTATGTTCCCCCCTTAAAACAAACGGTATCTGAGTCTTTGCTAACGAGACTACAGGCCCCTGCCGCCTGGATTTACGCCTCCGAAGTGTTCCCCCTCAAGTACCGTGCTAAGGGTGTCGGCCTTTCTGCCGCGGGCAACTGGATCTTCAACTTTGCCCTGGCCTACTTCGTCGCTCCCGCCTTCACCAACATCAAGTGGAAGACATACATCATCTTTGGCGTGTTCTGTACGGTGATGACCTTCCATGTATTCTTTCTGTACCCGGAGACGGCGCGTCGCTCGCTTGAAGAAATCGATGTCATGTTCGAGTCGAACGTGAAGCCGTGGCAATCGAACAAAGTTCAGGATAAATTTGGAGAGGAGATCGCGCGGCGCCAGCATAGTGTTTCGGAGGAGAAGGCCGCAGATGCATCGCACCAGGAGGTTGCCTAGAGCAAGATTATCTTTAGAATCAGAATGTAGTTACTGATGAACTCCCAATCTATTAATTGTTTCTTGTCAAATGGTCGAGCCTAAAGGGCCACGTTACGCCGTCTCACGGCGTATGATGCCATCCAATGTAGTGTAGGTGATATGATCGCAACGAAGCCGCCCAAGGGGCTGTTCATCTTCCAAATTAGGGCATAGAGTCTTGAACCAATCACTATCATGAAAATTCCAAACATGAGGAAGAGGCAAACAAGCCCGATTGATGTCCCGAGTAATGCTGACCACACTCCGCACAGGTTGCGATTCGCATATATGCGTAGGTGAGGCGATTTGGGTGTGAATCGGGAGATCAGGAACTAGCTGATTCCCAACCACGATTATCATCGTAAGTCAAAATGAGGCATCTTGCCCTAGCCGTGTATATTAAATTTAACCGGACGCCATTTGTCTAGCCCCGACCTTTTGGTCAAAAAGCTTAATCTAACATCCTCCCTGCTGAAAGTTCAGCATCTCTGTTACGCTCCTGGACCACTACTCATCCCATCTTCCCAACTTGCCAGCCAGACCGTTGTTGCCAGCGCATACAAATTTGGACTAGATTGTGCCTCTTTCTGGCTTAGGCGGTATTGTTCTACCACATAGAAGACGTTACTAGACATCACTCAGATAGTACTTGTATGGGGACATTCCCCAAAGGAGTGAACGTCCAAGCTTAAACCTGGCCTCTGTCAATGTATTACTCACGAATGTGCTATTTCGCATATAGATACATATGAATGGAGGGATTCTCAAGCTATCCTTGGTCGGTTTATCATCGTATTGAAGGAATAGGCGGACAATTGCTAATATATCACATCAAACACAGTGGTGAAAAAAATGATTACTTGTGCTTCGTATCTTCGCGTCGCGTTATTATTCTCTCCGTTTGTTGTTTGCATTGAGGTTCGACATCGCTCACAAGGGGCCGGTAATCTCAGTATTCGCGATCGTCTCACAGGCCTTGGGCTCTCATTTTTTCGACTGTGTTCGACTCGAGCTCCTTTGAGCTTCGGCGATTCGTGCAACCGCTGTCACAGAAACCCACTCGCCCAGCAGTTCCGAAGCAATGAGAAGGCTAGCGGTACAGCGCCATTTAACGGATTTATTGGGGAACTATCACCTTGGTCTAATGTCCCGATTATGGAGTAGTTGATCTTCCAACTAGCTAGAATAGTTCCTATAGTCTCCCTATCGTAGAACCCCCCAATTCGTCTATAAACGCCGGGACCATCCTATAAATTGCTTGAAACCTCGATGGAAAACCTGGCAATGCCGAATTTTAGTCGTTTGTTCAAGATAGCAACGGTTCTCCGGCTGTCTCCTTTGCGCCGACACATATCGGACGTTTTTCCGGTAGTTTCCCACGAAGCAACAACCGGAAAACTAAGCTTCTGGAAGGATTGGATAACCGCATCTCACACGTGCCGAGAAGCTATAATGATCTCCGACCCTCTCGGCCCGAGGAGGAGGAGCAAGTACGATACTTTGACTAAATAGGAAATTCTCCAATACGGAAATATGGTCCGATAGATACTAGATTGGCTACTCTTTTTTTCCCGATCAAAGCTCATTAAGAATCTCTAGTGCCTGTTCGAGAAGAGGTTCAAGTAGCTTGGTAAATTATTTTCGAGCGTTTGAAGGAAATATAAGAGATTAATCTACTCTGCAGAGTACTGTGAAGAATATACTGGAGCTACCCCTACATAGAAAACTTTTAGGATATTCTACAATTACTTGATTGTATCTTGGCTATCGAGAAGAATAAAGGCCTCCGATTCAACATACAGTGGATACATCAGATCTTGAAATCAAGAATCTATGAACTTGAGGGTTATAAGTTTATAAATTAGTGCAAGGCGATAAGATTAAAAACAGGCCTCACATGCGGTATCCACACCAAGCATCAACCAGGCCCACCACCAATTAGCGGCGCTTATCGACGGGGAAAGCGTAACCCTAAGACTGCCAATGTCATAGGGCGTAGGGTGTGCCTTCCCAATGCCTCGGCTGTTAAGGGATGGCGCTTTTCCCCCCCAACCGTTTGGTATTCAGTCCACAACACGGGCACACGATTCATCATGAATGCCCTGACGTGGAACAATTGCTCGAAGAGACTTCCATTGCTCGCGACAAGAAGCACTACTCTCCGCGCGAAACCATTCCGGCGAACTATGTCGCAGTTTCGGGTCGTCGAGCACACGGTCCGAGCCCAACATATCCGAGACCGATTCGGCGCGACGGAACCAGGCCAGGTGAACAAGTTACGTCTGGCTGTGAAACAATACATCCCGAAGTCGAACGAAAAGCCATCTCCTGGAGATGTCACAATCATTGGTGCGCATGCGAACGGGTTTCCGAAGGTAACAAGCCGCCTGTCTCGCAAAGGGAGAACTGTAGGTTGACCAAGATAGGAAATGTATGAGCCGTTATGGGATGATCTGGAACAGCGAATGAGCTCTCTGGGCAGGAGGATTCGGAGTATATGGATCGCAGATGTCGCTCACCAAGGCCAGAGTAGCGTCTTGAATGAGAGAATTCTTGGCAATGATCGTTTGTGTCTTCCCTGCCCGGTCGTAGTATAGGGCGACTCTGCTGATACGTCTTAGCTAGCTGGAATGACCATGCGAGGGACCTCCTATTTTTGATTAATCAGTACCAAGACGAGATGCCCCATCCTATCATCGGAGTAGGACATAGCATGGGTGGCATGCATTTGTATGTGTAGCCTTTCTATCCAATCATGTGTCCAAAGCGCTAACCTCACGGGATTTAAGAGCCAACTTAGCATTGTTGCACCCATCGCTTCTCCAGGCTCTGGTCTTGATTGATCCTGTCATTCAGACCGAGAACCCGAGCAAGGACTACGCTCCTGCCTCGAGCTACAGACGCGACATATGGCCCACAAAGCAAGATGCCATACAAAGGTTTGAAATCAACAAGGTATATCAGAAATGGGACCCACGTGTATTGGAAAAGTATGTGGAATATGGACTGCGCGAGGTACCGACCGAGATATACCCGGAGCCTGATGAACTCGGCCCACGACCAGTGACATTGACCACCCCTAAAGCCCAAGAAGTATTTACTTTTCTGCGACCTAGTTATGAAGGCGGAAGAGTGGATCTTGAGCAAGATGACTGGCAAAATGAGATGCACCCGGACGATTTAGAAGAAGGCTATCCGTTTTACCGACCAGAACCGGCACAGCTTTTCCGTCGTTTGGGCGAGATGAAACCGAGCGTTTTGTACATTTTCGGGGAACGTTCTGAATTATCGTCGCCTGCCGCTCGTCAGGCCAAGATGGAGGTCACAGGTACTGGTGTTGGGGGAAATGGTGGTGTTAGTCGGCAACGAGTCAAGGAGGTGACGCTGCCAACAGGACATCTCGTCCCAATGGAACGTGTTATGGATTGTGCCAACGCGATCGCGACGTTTAGCGACGCCGAGCTGTCTAGATGGGATACCGATCGCCAGAAGTACCTTCAGAGGTGGAATGCGACACCACGTCGCGACAAGATCACGGTCGACGAGAAATGGAAACAGCATATCGGCACATTAGCGAGGAAGCCCAAACTATGAGATATTTTACGGCTTCCTTATCGTGGTGGAGACTATAGAGTAGATGTGTTTATCCATTGGAGACTATTAGTAGTTCTTTATGCTTTTCATTACTGAAAGCCTCGATGGCTTGAAGGTCCCCACCATAGATAGTAGATAGATTGGCAGATTGACAAACAGATTATCTAGACCAAGTTCTGGTATATTTGAGATTATTGGGGCCAGTACCTAAGCCTCATTGCGTACGTGGTCATTCCCTGCACAAGGCTAGCCTCATGACTAGCAGTGGAGTGTATACGACAGGACCAATAGGGCACAATACCAGATGTGATGTCGATATGAGATTCTGATCCACTACAACCGTCTAGCCCTCAGCTAAACCCCCCGAGCTATGGCTCATTGGCTACCACCTTTGGGGGCTAAACTACTCGGTCATCGATATCTTCACGAGAGAAGTATTTAAGCTCAGTTCTATTCGACAGCTCCCGCTCCCTTTTGCTGAACCCGTCCGAGCAGTAGCCCTAGGTATCTCATTCAAAAGCTCCATATCCGGAATAAATATCCAAAATGTCAAAGCCAACGCTCATCTTCGCCCCAGGAGCCTGGTACCCATCATCAGCCTTCGACCCACTCATTGCCAGATTGGCCCCACATGGCTACACTTGCCAAACAGTCTCCTTCCCCTCAATCCAACAAGCAACGGAAGTCAAAGACCTAACGGCCGATATCACTGCCGTCCGCGCACTAGTCGAACCAGCCGTGAATGCCGGTGAAGATGTGATCATCATCTCGCACAGCTGGTCAGGCCTACCCGTAAACAGCGCGCTTGAGGGGCTAAGCCGAGCAGAAAGGCAAAAGGAGGGCAGAGATGGTGGCGTGACGAAGCTGATTTTCATCTCAGCCTTCTTGCCGGAGATCGGTGAGAGCTTAATTGGGGCTTTTGGGGGTGTGCCGCCGGACTGGTATGTTATGAATGTAAGTTTTCCTTCCTCGATGATTTCTCATTGTTTCACTGTAGTAGGTGAGACTGAAGAGGATATGAAATAGGTTGAGAACGGTACCGTGACGGCAAATGATCCATTCACGCTCTTCTTTCATGATGTCCCCGATGGACGGGACTGGGCGACAACACTGCGCCCGCATGCGTGGGCGACGAAGAACTCGCCCGCAACTGGGACTGCTTATGTGGATATTCCTTCCGCATATCTTCTGTGCGAAGATGATCGGGCGATTCCGTTGTTTGTGCAGGAGTTGATGGTTGAGAAGGCAAGGGGGAAGGGGGCCAGCTTTGAGACGGAGAAGATTGCGACGGCTCATACTCCTTGGTTGGTTTTTCCCGATCGGGTTGCTGAATATATTAGGAGGCATGTTGGGGAGGACGTGTAGTTATGATTATAGACAATTGCATATCTTACTGCTAATATCATAGATGTCCATGTACTTCACATAAGTGACGCCTGGAATTGTTGACGGGTCTTGGGGATGACTGGTTACTGACATGATGATATAAAGAAAGGCTGATGTATGCAATAATAGCTTCGTAAATACTCTAAAATCAATCAAATCGCTCAAAATCGCCATCGTAATGCATACATGATACAATACAAGAAATCTTATACCAAGCTCAGAGCACCTTCGCACTCCGGATGCCAACCTGCAACACCTCAAATCCCCACTGCTGCATCTTAAAGCCATCAAAAACGCCATGAGGATCCAAAAGTACCCTGGGACTTGCCATGTGGCCAGCGATGCGTTGCCATCGCACCTGGTCCTGGCGGAACTCCTCCCAATCAGTATGGAGCACTAACGCGCTGCATCCAAAACACGCCGTCTCAATAGACTCCGTCACCGTCACCATTTCTGGATGACAGTCGTAGAGTCGCAGCGTGCTTTCACTGCGGTCGGCCTGGACGTGCGGATCATAGATGTTGACTCGTACCCCATTGCTAGTCAAGGTTCGGATCAAGCCCAATGCCGTCGTGGTCCGCGTGTCCATCACGTTTCCCTTCGACACAAAGCCGAGTACCGCCACTCGTTTCTCTTTCACGTCGCCGAGTCGGGTGACCAAGCGTTTTACAACTCGATGCCTTTGGTATTCGTTCATCCGGAGGACTGCCATCCAGTAATCAACAACCTCCTGCAATCCCAATTCCCTCGCCAGGTAGACCAAGCAGAGCACGTCCGATTGCAGGTTCGATCCACCGAATCCGAGTCCGGATCGCTGACTCAATCCGAGGGTCTCCGACACATAGTTGATATTGGCGTTCGTGGACTCGCAGAGAACGCTAAGGGAATTGAGACTGCTGATCTGTTGGGCGAGCAAAGCGTTCGCCGCGATTTTGCCCAGTTCCGAAGACCATGCATCCATGGTCACGATGCGATCATCCGGAACCCATGGAGAATATAGCCGTTTCAACGCCGTCAATGCCTCGGGTGACATATCTTCCGAGAAGACATGTCCGATGATCACACGGGGGGGATAAAGGAGGTCTCGAATTGCTGCGCCGGGTACGAGGAAGTCTGGGTTGGAAAGCACATCGAAGGATGCCGATGGCGAGGCCGTTTCTTTCAACTACAACTGTTAGAGAAGAAAAAAAAAGACATGTTACAATTCTATGAGACCTACGAGTTTCTTTAGCCGTGGTACAATACCACACGGCGCGGTGCTCTTCTGGACTATGATCTTGTGGCCTGTCGAAACCTGTGCGATGGCTTGGATGGCGACTTCCAAGCGAGATAGGTCTATGTCGCTTTTGTCTCCGTCCGTAATACTGGATGGCGCATCTACACACAGGAAGACCATGTCCGCCGCTGCCACGGCTTCGTGCATGTTAGTCGAGAAGCTCACATTGGGGAGCTTCCGTCGTCGCGGTAACAAAGCCATGAGCTCCCCTTGGTTGGTAGTATTACTTGAACTTTCCCGGCAATCATCATCCTGTGAAGCTTCTGGCTTGGGTGACGGTGACGGCGTTGGTAATTGCGGTGGGTCATTGGGCTCAAATAATAAATCTTCCAGTCCTGGTTCAAAGACGGGAGGCCGATCCGAATTCCACGCGGCAATGAGACGAGCATCACTGTCCACGACAAAGAACTGAATATGTGGGTTTTGCGACGCAAGTACCAGTGCTGTCAGTCCACCTACAGGAAATACATTAGCGACGATACGAAGTAATCGGCACGAGCCGTGATCCATACCCACATATCCCGCGCCTATCATACAAGCTTTCCGAACATTCTCGACCTTCTCGCTTCTCAACTGCGGTAATTCTATCTCTTCCACGCTATCTGAATAGGTATGCCCCTTCACGAACACCCGCGGACTGTCGTCCTGCTCGATGGCCTTGTATCGCCGTCGCCGAAACAAAAGAGTCAGCCCGGCGAGGACGAACAAAATGGGGAGGAAGGGCATCATGGCCGGGAGAGGTGGTGGAATCCCAAACGGCCTCTTGTCGTCATGAAGGACTTTGTATCATGTTGGGACCGAGAAGTGGGCACTTTTAGTGTCGTGTCGAAATGGGTCCATCGATATCAAGAAGTAGCGGTCAGTTCACCAGCCACCTCACCCGTTCTTGTAATTCTCCGATCGTCTTAGATTGTGCCACCATTTCCGACCGTGGTTAAGCCAGACTGAATTATCAGACTTAGGAAGATTCGTAACGCGATGCCACTGGTTCTGCAGGTTGTCGATGTTGTTGTGGTGTCTGACTACGTGGCATGCGACTTGGCGCAAGCGGATGCAATGCGCGCGCGCCTTGGGTCTTAGCTATTGGGTACAAACGCGCGGATGTTCTTTATTTGGATCTGCGACTCAGTAAGGGTACGTGTCTATACCTTGTTTGTAATAGTTTTGGTGGATCCCAAATGTCAAGGCTGTGTAGGAGCTCGTGTGATGTCTCCATATGCTATGGTCTTCCCTTTCTGCGACCAAGGGAAGCGTGATCTGTTGGTCTTGGGTATAGCCTCATACCTGGCAAGGATATATATAGCCATATGGGACTAATTAGGTGCACTCTATATTTGCATTTTCCTCTTTTTCTTTTTTCTCTTTTTTTGCTTCGTCACTGGGAGGAAGACTAGCATCTGTCAGATATTGACAGCTCTTTAAGGTTTCAATCTAGTCTAGGTCAACATTGGAGCCCAAACCTTATGAACCCCAAGTTAGGCCCTTTCCCACTCATTTGCTTTGAAATAATGTAACCTGGTCTAAAGTACCTATGGGATTAAGATAATCTAGCCATTCACCACTGATTGACAGTTTTCCAAAGATTTTCCTCTGTGATATCACATTTACCATGGCCTTTAGGAGTGGTTCTCTCGTTGTTGGACTACGTTAACTTGCTCGTCTTCTATTTAAATCATCAGCCACCACGGGAGCAGGGTATCAGACAAAGCCACAGCAAAAGTACCAAAGGCGAAACAAGGCTGAGAAAACAGGGCAGTCTTTTAAGTTTGGCATTGGGGTGGGATACGTGAAGAAAAACCCCAAATATCGGGACGGACACGATTCGGTCTCATTTCAACGACCCCGCCCCCACGCGGGGGAAATCAAAGTTAAGGAGTTGCTGCTCAACAGCTTCATAAGCCCATACTAGGACTCGTTCATTAGGATCGTCTGTCTATTGCCATCTTTAGAAGGAAGGCAAGTCTTCCTAATGATTGTGTCAATTCTCTGTTCCTGGTGATTAGTTGCCTTCAGACACTGGATCTACGGGTGAGGGCTCCGTAGTGGACCTGTGTTCCGGCCTCGTGGCAATATAAATGATTAAGAGGAGCAAAGGACGTTAAGGGACTACAATCCCTATTTGACTCGATACGATTATCTTAGTCCTCATTACCCGAGTTAAAGTTTGAGATATGCCTACATCACGAACCATCTCCATTGTTGGATGTCATGCCGAGGGTGAAGGCGGCGATGTGATAATCGGCGGGGTACTCGATGTCCCGGGGAAGACCATGTTCGAGAAGCGACAGCATTTCCTATACAGGCAAGATGAGCTAAGGTCTCTTCTGCTCAACGAGCCTCGAGGACGACCAGGCAGACACGTGAACCTTGTCCTCCCACCGTGCGATCCCCGCGCTGATGTCGGGCTGTTGATTATGGAAAACGAAGAATATGCACCCATGTCCGGTTCCAACTGTATATGCACGGTCACCGTACTCCTCGAAACTGGCATGATCCCGATGAAGGAGCCCGTGACCGAGCTTACGCTTGACACGGCGGCCGGACTTGTCAAAGTGCGGGCTCAATGTCAGGGAGGCAAATGCAGGAGCGTCGCCTTTGATAACGTTCCATCCTTCGTGTTCCAGCTCGATTACAAGATCGACATTCCTGACCTGGGCACCGTATCGGTCGATATTGCCTACGGAGGCATGATGTACATACTCGTTGATGCGGCATCCCTTGGTCTGAAAATCCGGAACGCCGATGGCCCACAGCTAGTCGAGGTCGGTGAGAAGATCAAGAAGGCACTTAACGCAACTTACACCCCGGCACATCCCGAGAACCCCGATATCTTTGGCTATAGTGTTTTGCAGTTCACTGAACCTCTTGAAGAGCTTCCGGATGGCAGCGGTAAGACGGCTGTCAATACAGTTGTCAGTTCGCCGGGCAGATTCGATAGAAGCCCCTGCGGCACAGGTAGCTCTGCCCGTCTAGCCGTCATACACGCTCGAGGACAGATTGCCGTCGGGGAGAAGTTCGTGCACCGGAGTATCTTGGGAACTGAGTTTATCACGCATATCAATGGGACGACTAATGTTGCTGATTATCCGGCCGTTTTGTCCACTGTCCAGGGTCGGGCGTGGATTACGGGTTATCAGACGGTTGTGCTCGACTCGGAGGATCCTTTCCCTCAAGGTTACCGTGTGGGTGACCAATGGCATGGCATGATTTAAAGTATGGTTACTCAGTAGCTGGTATTACATTTTTAAATGAGTGGTGTATTGACCTGATGAAGATAGGAATGTAACAAGGGCGTTCAACAGTGTCCACCATGAAAGTCCTCGAGTTCTATAGATCATTAAAACCTGGACTGAATATATTCTTCATCGCGAACTATCCTGAACCGTGGCAACGTATTAAATGATTCTGCTCTTGAATAACAATTAAGACGGCAATAACATAACATACAGGTGAGAGAGACACCCACAGCACCTAAAATAGCGATACCAAGCTATTGTCACAGCGACAATGTCGTACACGATGAGCGGGCCAAGTCAAGCATGTCAACCTCAGGGCAACACCTCCATCCCTTCTCAGCAAATACGCCCTCGAACCATCACCCAGACCAGTTCAATTTGTGCCCCAACTTGAACGCTCGGAATTTAGCATGGTCAGATCCTCAGCTCGAGCGACAGACTGGTATGTTCCTCTATTAATGATGAGGGTGGTTGTACTCGGATCCAATGTGGTTCCTAGCTTGCATTACACACATTGGTTGTGAGTGACGAGTCAAGCCTGGTTAGTAGATAGATCTAGGCCTGCCCCGTATCTACTGTGGCATGTATGATTAAGCAGTAATTGTACACATGGAGCCCGTATCCCAATGGGAGGTCCGATTATAAATAAGCGTGCAATAGTTACACTCGATTGTTCGACAATATCTCTGTTGCGCCTTGATCACCCGTGGTACGTATTGTCCAGTCCAGCATTGAACAGGTAGAAATATCCAACGGTCGCAAACCACAGATACGTCGAGGAGTGTCTGGACTGGACTGAATGCAACTGCAACACTGCTCAGATAAGCATGCATGAACCTGGAATTCCACCATCTGATCTCACATGACCCCGCCAACCCCTTCACCGACTTCATTTATTCTTATCTTCCCCCGCACCCCAAGCAAGATCCCACTCGCTCCCTCTCAGAAACTCCACCCTTCCCGACGACCTAGAAGTTATAGAATTAGCACTATAGCTACAATGACAAGGTCTCTACCGCGTATTGCCTGTTTCCACGGTGGCGGGTCAAAAGGCGCCATCTACGAGGTTCAATGCTCGCAGCTGGCCGGATTGCTCAAGAATGACTTTCAATTCGTCTTCTTCGATGGACCTTTCGAAAGCGGACCAGGACCAGGCATTCTGCCCGCTTTCCGTGATTACAAGCCTTTCCGGTCATGGTTCAAGAAGGACGGATCGGAAACGGAGCAAAATGATGGGAGTGGATATGACATCTCGGGGCGGGACGGTGTGGAGCGGGTTTGGAAACTGATCGAAGCGGCGGGGCCCGGTGGGGAATGGGTGGGCGTAATGGGATTCAGTCAGGGCACCCGCATCACCAGTGGACTATTGTTGGATCAACAGCGGAGAGCAGCATTGGGGGAGCTGGGAAATACTCCGCAACTGAAGTTTGGGGTGCTGTGTATGGGTGCTGGTGCACCCATGGTGTCGGAGATTGGTCATCGTATGTTGCTCGTTTCCTTAGCTTTTTCAGTACCTCTGGATATTCGTATTGACTTCTTGATTGTTACAGAGATGGCCGATACGGGATCGATGGATTTAATCAAGATACCGACGCTACATGTTCATGGACTGAAGGATATGTTTTTAGCATTGGGAAAGCAACAACATGCGACGTTTTATGAGTCGAGTACATCAAAGGTATATGAGGTTGATTATCATCATGCCATGCCTTGGTATAAGCATGAAGTCCAGCGATTGGCAGAATTGATCCGCGAGTTGTATAAAGAGTCCAATCGAGATTGAAGGAATGGTTTGGATGGTAGTGGAAGGCTTCTAGGGCCAGTGCGAATGGGTAACATATGTTCATTGTCTGGTTAATTTTTGACGGTCGATTATGAGGCACAGTCATTCTGTAGAAGGCGTTATAGACGAATATTTGGTTGGACCCCAGATTTCCTCATGTGGCGAGGTAGGCGTTCAAGGCAAACACACTTATCATAATGAAACGTATGTCAACAGACCACGATATTACCAAGGCTAAAAGACACATACCTTCACTTTTGCTACGCCTTTTCTTTGGTCTGAGACAATGCGACTGAACTTGAACTGACCACGGTGCGACCCAGGTATAGTCAGCACTAACAAGGAAAACAGTCATAGAAAATAAATCCGCAAGCAACTCCCTACTTTTGGCTGTCTGCCAGAATTCGCGTCATGTTGAGATCCCAACGTGCGCTAGATTGTTTCTCATGCACGGGAATATGTGATAGAGACAGGGTGTCCTGGACGCTATTGCAGGGCCGGTGCTCTTGTTTCCTATGGCATTAACCAGAGCACAAGTTTCATGCGGAACAGTCCAGGTGTCCTGTGATGCTTGCTAATTCCTCCATGAGTAGGCAGTTCATCCTTTCCCGGAGGAACAGCCTCGGAATACTAGAATCGCGTACAACCCACCATCCTATCCTTCCTGATTGATGCCTTGAGAAGAGGTTCCATTGCGGACCTTAGCACCACTCACAGTATATCAGCAGTATCGGTAGGGTCCCTACTGAAACTGCGTTAACAACATGCAAGTGTAGCTCAGGCTTTCTCTGCTATTATACCATCGACAGTCCTGATCACATCTCTCATCGCCGAGACGAAAAGCCGATATGGCACAGGACGTTCTAGGAGTTGGGGGTCCAGACAGCAGCTTAAACTAAGGGGGGGAACCATTTAAGCGAGACTGGAGTATAACGAGTAGCTGCACTCACGGTCGGGAGCGACGCATATGACTAGCTCTTCGTGCTTCAGACGTGGGAGATTCGTTGCGATGAAGTGGGCGACCTCTGCTTTTGAGCGGCGGCATTTCTCCGGATTCAACATTCCATTCCCAATGGCTATTCGCAAAACGTGATTCCAGAGTAGAAGCTACCTGGTAGGATTAGTCCCATCGGCAACGCTATCTGCCGCCACTGTAGGCAAGATGGGATTCATGAATTCTTCAGTCGCGGAAGACGTACCAAAAAGAGTTTCTTCTGGAGCTTGGCAATTGGAAGATATGACGTGATGCTATACCTATCGATCCACCATTCGACACACTACCCAATCTTATATTGTTCGGCATTGGTTAGTAACGCATTTTTATTGGATGTTTGGCTTTTTGCGTAGTCCCTCTCAGAAATGGGCTGCCATATAGAGACGAGGGGCTTTCGTTCAGACCTCCGCAATATATCCGGCGGATCCGAGGTATCCCCTCCACCGGTTGTGATGACCATCACAACTCTGAGGTCAATACAAAGACCAGCTATCGGATGCCTGAGAGACCACGGTCCTCCATACAGCTCTGTGATGATAAAGCTCCTTATCCATACCACGCTCGTGACATGTACAATAACCTGCATCCATGTCCTCCCTATCGTGCATCGGATGGGGAGAGACAGAGCTTCAACTAGCATGCAAAGACTTGGCCGATCGGGTAGATCGGCACAGACCGTATCAGAAGAATCCATAGTCGCTAGATAGTAGAACGATTGTGTTCCAAGCTATACTTTCTACCAATAAATGCATGCCCTAGATATGAACCATCACAATCGTTGATATCGTTCTTATTTAATAATCTCCAGGCATTACTTACAAATGAGACCATCATTTTCCGCGGTAGGGTCTCTCTGGTATTCGAATACCTAATTATGAGAATCTTCCCAAGGGTCGTCGAGGTTACAGCGAGTGATGTTAAGCATCCGGGTATGCCGGATTGTGATCATGGGCCTAATGATGGGGAGTGGAGCGCGGTCGCTCATTGGCTCCGGGTTCAGCCCTGACTGGAGTTGCATCGCCGCTATTAGTTCTGGTATTGACACACAGGGTCTTTCCTTACGGGATTTGCTCATCAGTGGGGTCTTTGACCATATACAAACATACTTTTAGTCATTGTAGAGCTATTCGGTAGCTCGACATGAGAATTTGCACACTGGTGAGCCGGGGTTGCCGGGGAAGGCAAACCTCTACATTATAAAGGGCAACTCGCGTCTCTGGTAGCCCACAGTTGGTCTCCAACACATTCTATTACCACTTCAATTCCCTTTTCCGGAGTTTCTATTCTGTCAGCTATCTCTAAATTGACGCTCACCATGCCTTCTTGGCTCCTCACGCTCGGCACCGGCTTTGCCCTGGCGCAGACCATCTCGGGCGCCTACATCTACATTAAGACTACCCAACCACCAGCCAACAGTTACGTGACCCATTGTACCGTCATCATCGACGAGGAGCTCTTCGGCTGTGAGGGTAGCTCCAACCCGTTCAAGAAGAAGTGTGGTAAGAATACGGGTACCGAGACGAAGGAGATCTGTGAAACCGCCTCCGTCACCGTCAACTGGGACACTGGTGACCTGCAATTCAAGAATGATCATGGAGATCACGCCAACTGCACGCTGAGCACGACCAACGAGTGGGGCGAGTGTGATACCAGCGACGCGAACAAGTACCCCAAGATCCAGGACAACCACGCCGAAAGCCTTTTCAGCGTCAGCAGTGCGTTATACGGGTTGGCACCCGTCGCTGCAGGACTACTGATTTAAGGAGATTTCAATGTCAGCCTGGCTCATAGTCTCGCTTTCTCCATGCTCAATCTATGGAAGGGCTACGCGAGACCTCTTCCTCTCTGATCGCGTACCCCCAGTCGGATTTCCACCATTGGCCTCTACGGCTAAGAAGGTGAAAGACAATCAAGTGACGTCAACACTCAAGTCAACAAGGATATTTATTGTTTTGGAAGCCATGTCCGGGAACAGAATAAGGATTTATGGGAACACTTGTACTTTATATACAACTCTTATACTAGCCGAACTGGATGTTCGGCCAAACCCTAGCCTATGCAGAGACGCGCGGGGGGTACTAATAGAATTAATGACATTTAGTTATATGAGATTGTAGAGACTAGTCGAGAGCGATTCCCCTCAGCTTGGGGATGGCCAGCGTTTCCTAACTACACTGACTTACATCATTTGTGAAGATTGAGCTGGTTCCATGGTTCCGGAGGGTGCCATGTCTGATATACTATCGAAAGCGACAGTCGGATGAATACCGCCCAGCAATGAAACTAATCACCCCACTGTATTGTAGTCTAGATGATCTCACTTTGTAGAGCGAATTCCCCATAATAGAAAACAAACATTATTCATTCTGTCTGGCCTAGACCAGGTCTTCAATGCACCATACGATCCATGGCTCCGAATGTACCGAGCTTGTCCCGAGTGTATACCGAACACGCTAAACCAAATACGGTAATACTATGAGTGGATTCAAGACTTGAGTTAAATCGTCATAATACCTTGGTTGGGAGAGACCTAGGCTTAGGAGTCCTTAATAATCCTCCGTGTAGGATCCCACTTGCATTCTAATTTTTCAATCTGTTACCCTCTCCAAGGTGGTTTAGCTTGCCAAAATCTCACGCTGCACTGGGCATTCTGTTGGTGTGTCTGGGTACTAGCGTACATCGTAAAGTTATATATCAACAGTATACGAACTGTGTATATTTCGTCGCTGGTGCTACTAGAGGTAGGCTAGCTGCATAGGCTATAATGGGCTCATGAAACGTTGATTTGTATTTGTTTATATATTCATTGCCTTTTTTCTTTACCGTTTTCTTTTCTTGTCTTGTGAGTTATGTAAAGGACTGAAGCACTGGTAAACAGAAACTGAGAGAAGAAGGAGAAGACAAGGAAAGTTAGAACATAAGAGAGGGAGGAAAAAAACGACCAAGATTATATGGACTAAATGGACAAATAATTTAAATAGTTCCAACAGTGTAAGCAGAAGTACATTAAACGCAGAATTTGCTTGCTGTAACCGTTGACAACTACGCGTTTTAGGCTAGGGCCCGATGTTTTTGTTCTCCATCCCTTTGTTTCCTAGGCACATTAGTAGGGATACAGCTTTACCTACATAAAAGTGGGAATCAAGACCTCTCTATCTCTGATCTGAAGCTTCGTCAAAAGATATCAGCTGAGAAGAGTTGAAGCGCACGAGCAGTCGAATATGTATAAGGATTTATGCAAATCAGCAGGAATGCATTGAAAGATGAACATGGCCGTCAGCCATCAGCACTAGAGCAATTAACAGCATCCGACTCTCTTGAAAATGGGATACACGTATTTGCTGCGGCCGCTATTGGAAAGCTCGTAAACTCACTCGCTACGAAGATGGTGCATCTGTTGACCGCAATAGGCCCTTGTAGAAATATGAGGTTGGCTCTCTACTGGCCATCATGCTTCGGAATTTGACATTCAATGAGTTTAATGCAGGTATGGCAGTCGAGACTCAAGGAACTTCGACGTTTAGAACTCTCAGCAGGTTGGTTGCAGGAAGAAGCACCATCAAACACGAAAATTGGTCAATGATGGAGTAGTGCCCAGTTATTGAAGAATTTCACTTCCAGGGGATGGTTGATTCACCATGGTAATTTGTTGTTCATTTATAAAAGGTAACACACTTCTAAACCCGAAGCCCCAGCCCCGGAACATCTGCTATGAATCCAGTCATATTTTCGCATCTTTCCCTCCTTTTTCCCATTTTTGGGCCGAAGGTATGATCTGTGCAGCGTGTTGACTAATGGCAATTAACTCCATGGTTTCGTCACACAGAAGTATTTCCATATCCATTCTTCCATCTATAATACGCTTGACCTCGCTGCGCAAGTAGAGCCATCGAACACCACCCGGTGGAAGATTTTTCTTCACCTCTGTCGACATAGACAATGCTACATTAACAGTCTCCGTGTTAGGCTCCGTCGACCCATCCAACTCTAGCTCCCTCCAGTTCGGCTTTCCTTGGATCCGGGCCTGCCTTTGGGCTTCCGCAAATTCGAGCGTAGCAGCAACACTACCCGTGGGTAATCGCTTTGTTCGTGGGAAAAAGTTCTCCTGAACAGGGAGGCTCATATCTATAGCAAACTGTATCATCTCCGTTGTCCATCGTGCTTTCTCCTCGTCTTTCTGCATCGCACAGGATCCTCGAGGGAAACAGTCCCAGCCAGGTAGGATCCATTGCTCTGTGAATTTTATATCAGAGGGCCAAGACTTTGGGATGAAATTTCTCACATAGGAGTGACCGCGTCTAAATCCATTCCGATGGAACGCCGTTTGGTAAGATGTCCATTCAGGGTCACAATCCATTTCGAGTTTTGACAGATCAACTGGACGGGTAGTCAAATGCCAGCCTGTCTGGAGATTGATGCCCGGTAATTGGAAGTCAGAGAGCCTGGGTTACGTGAATGTTTGATTTTAAAATATTTGAAGTCCACCTTCTAGGGATAAGGGTCTCTCACCATATATCAGCAGATGCTGCAATCTTCCCAAATTGAAAAGTCTCAATGCGTAATGTGGACCATGCTTTACCAAGGCTCACTTCGCGCAGCTGCATCTGAACTGGCTTTGATGCAATAATCGGACGATAGAACTGGGCCAATGCGGTTCGAATATCTGTCTGCGTTCGTAGTTTCTCATGTTTCGAAGCATGAACGACGGCATATTTCGCCATCAAACTAGCTACATAGCCCCCACAGCTGACTACGACGTTCTGTTGTTAATCTTGTAGCCTGGACATTTCACCTAGAAGATACGAAATGTGTGGATAATGTTAAACCCACCTGCACCAAATGCAATATCCGTTGGAAGCTCCAGAGACAAGTGGTCTCCCGAAGGAGAGATGTCCAATGCGGTGGACAGGCTGGTTGGTAGTGTATCTGCCATATTCTTCGCTTACAAGGACTTCTTGTATATCAGGATGGAGAGAACACTTATATTACTTCCTGCATAAAGTAACAACTGCCGACGCGACCGGTGCAAAGCAAATAGAAATGGGAAACGAGAATAAATCTCAGAGGGTAGGCCAAAGCATATTAATAGTACTTTAGAATAGCCCCCAATCACCAACTCCCGACCATTTCCGAGAGCCCCTGTCCCGCACCAAACGATTATATAAGAATATTATGCTCCAAACCTTAAAAGGTTCATTGAATATTGAACTCTACTACCAATCAGGCTTCATATTTGCATCTAACGTTGGGACGTAGAATCGTGCTATAGTACTAAATTTAGGTGGGGGGAATGGGCGGTGAAACAAATGAAGGGGACTTTTTAGGGACGCAAGGAGAGTATCACACAGCCATGATGACCCTCTAGCTAGGTATATAATTTCAACTATAGGGCAATACTATGCAAGGATTGTGGAGCATTTCGGGGCTAATTTGATCTCCCAGGTGCTGAGCGGGGTAAGGAATACTGATACCTAAGTCTCTTATGCCAGGATGATGAGATTCATTTGGTCAATGGATGGGCTAGAGGGCGCGCTAAGCAGATCATTGTTGGCTAGCCTAAGCTATAGACAAGGGGCCGGAAGTCGGTGGTAACAACGGCGTAGGGGGAGTTGACCCACTTACTGTCGGACCCGGATTTGATAACTGTCTGTGGTGTTCGGTCTGCTAATGCTTCTATAATACTTCCTTTGTTCAACACATACGATTCTCGCACTATAAGCATACTTGTCCATCGTAGTGGATGAGTGATCTGGTGATGAGGTGGCTAACTACGGCCGGTTAACCCTCTATGTTCGGATAATCCTCGATTTGCTTCTTGATGTAACTGTTTCGTATTCACAGTCGAGCTCGGACCCAGGACAGCATGTTGAAGAGAAGGCAAAAGAGGGGTTCTTGTAGTAGGATGATGTGATATGATTCTGGATTAATCATACAAGTCATACAAATGTATTCAAGGAATAAGCCCAACTTTAGTCCCATTCCTCGAACAAAGCGTCAAAGCCAGACCTTCCTCCCAAGGCCCCGGATCATGGCTCTCCAGGGTACGAAACTCCTGCACCATCCGGACAAGAACGTAGCTTGCTTCAGTCAAGGCATAGCGCTGGCCAAGACAGATCCGTGGCCCACCATTGAACGGCAAATATCCCCAGCGCGGTTGCAGCTTACCATCCTCCCAGCGCTCCGGGCAAAATTCTGCTGCATCTGGTCCATAGAGGTCGGTTCGGCGATGCATGGCGTAGATATTATAGCCGACAAGGGTTCCTTTTGGGACAAAAGCGGGCGAGAGGCCATCTTTACCTCCACCCAGTGGGAGGACGGTGTCTCGAATTGCTTCGCGTTGATTACGGGGCACGACGGGGTGAAGGCGGAGGGCTGGAGGTTTGATATAAGTGAGAGCGACGGCAAAGGGGATCGGAGTACATACATTCATTTACACAGCACTGAACATACCGTAGCCCGCGAAGCTCTTCATACGTCGGTGGCCGATTCTGCAAGACATCAACTTCAGCGCGCAGCTTCACCCAAACCACCGGATTCTTCGCTAGCATAAAGAACAGATTCCCGAGCAGACTGGCTGTTGTATCCCGGCCAGCTAGGAGCACACTTATCAACTCATCTACCATACGCCGCTTATCGGACGTCCGCGAGGCCAGCTCATGCGAGAAAATATATCTTCGCTTTGTCTCCGTTGTTCTGGTTTCCTTATCTTCTTTTCTCTCTTCAGCAGCATAGACCGCCTCATCAACAAACTGTTGTACAAACTCCCGGCAGATGCGATTACACTCGTCAGCTTTTCGATCACGATAGATGGCATTCAACGGACCCAGCATGCCCCGTACGGGAATAGCCTTCTGGGCATACTGGAAGGCTTCTGCGAACGCCAGTTGCGATTGGTTTTTTTTTAATGTGCCAACAGACTGCCCAAACAAGAACTCCGTCGCGGAATCAATCGTATACCGGAAGAACAGGTCCTGCAAGTCCACTGTTGTACCATCTCGTGGAAGCAACACCAACAAATCCTGCATGAGCTTCTCCAACAATCTCAGATCAGATACCTGCTCACGGGCAAAGCTCGGTCGGATGAGGGCGCGCGATGAGGCCCAGTGTTCGCCATCGGTATTGAAGATGCCCTCTCCCAATAGCGGCTTAAATGGCTCGAGACGGTGTTTGAGACTATAGTCCTTGAAGTTTAGCGATAGGATCGTCTTGATGTTCTCAGGCTCAATAGTCACGATGGCACTTTGGTGCAGCTCCTGGACTCTGAATGTGTTGCCGTATTCATGAAAGATCTCACAATTTCTCTGGAGAATCCGATGCTGTCTGATCGCCCGGACTGTTCCAGGGATAGTATCAAGGCCCAGGAAAGGATCCTTGCTGAACGATCGCACGACTGGTTGACAGCCGTGGCGGCGTGCGAACTGACGGCGGATGAGGAAGCGCCGGATGGATATGATTGCCGTTCCCAATGCAGCAAGGAGGAGGATTGTAAGCTTTGATTGAAGCTCCATAGTCACTACGATGCCTCGAAAAATGATAAGAAAAGAAAACGTAAATATCTAGCTTGCTGTGCCGCATTCCAGGCAGCACTTATCTCGAGATCAATCACGTGGAAGCGCTAGGCAGATAGGCAGAAGACATAGAAGTAAGCGCTAGGGGCTGACTTTTACATAGTAGATCCTGTCAGCGGCAGATCTTACTCTCTAGTATTGGTTTCTGTCTGCTGCTCTGGATGTTGGTAGAAGTTCATATCGCCCAGGATACAGTCCACTTCCACTTTGATAACCTCTTGCCTAACTTAGGATAGTCGGAAATAGTCAAGATTAGTGTAGTTTAGAAAATAAGATTTACCAGTATAAAAAGTTCAGCCGTGTATGACTGGCGAGATCTCCGCAATTTCCCTCGGTCAGCTATAGTTCGCCGTAGCCCGGACAATTCTCGGAGATGTTCTGCGATTTCATGAGGGTGGGTCTATTCGGAAAACCCCTCCGAACAAACTTTGACCTCTTCTCTCTATGCTCTGCCATGGTCGTTCATACATAGTCGGCTTGCATATTGTTTCCCCCCTTTGCCTAAAAGTACATCCTGCCTAGATTGACCGCTTCATTGGAAAACAAGAAAGTTGCTTCAGAATGGCTTCTAGAGTCCGGAGGAGGAGGCAATTGGACAAGGTGGCCAATGCGTAGCTCTACCTATATTTGCCAATCTTTCACATTGATAATGGAGGGATCCACTGACAGCGAAGTTCACAGATGTGAGCAGTGTAAGAAGCGAAAGGTCAAATGCTCGGGACACTACCCCTGTGAGCCATGTATAGGTCGCGATGCGCAATGTATCTTTAAACAAGCAGAAAAGAGGGTGATCGTGTCTGAAAGGTAACAGTACAGTCCACAGCCCTACCTTCAATCTACTTAGAGATGGTCCTGTCAGTTATCTACGCAAGCTGCAAGAATCCTACACCAAGAAGCAAGAAAACCAGGTCTCGACCCGTGCGAGCTCAGAGAATGTAACAAGTCCGGAGCTCAATGCCGACTTGCCTACCGGGCATGGTTAGCAGCTAAACGACAATTTCAAGAGAGTGCATGCTAAACAAGTGACAGCAAACATGCGGACTTCCGGAGGGAATGCGACCGACGGAGATGCTATTACGAACCCGTTGGTGTCTGCCACTTCGTTCTATCTTCAAGACACTCCTGGACGTTACCGTGAGTTGACCTAGCACCCACTTGGAATACAATATTTCTGTCTGTACTAATGGCAAAAGGCTTTTGTGGGCCATCATCGACCTGGTCATTCTCTCAACGCGTTTTTCTTCTTTTGAAACCAGCGCTGCCCGAGTTTCCTGCGCCTGACTTGCCATTCAATGTTGATGGAACTACGTGGGAGTTGGACTGGACCCGAACAAGTCTGGATAGTGATAGAGTACTGGAAGGACTGCCGTCCCTCCATGATGCCCTATATCTCCTTGAAGTAGCCAAGTTTCATTCCTACCAGATGCTCTTTCTATTTGAAGAAGAGAAATTCTTACCGCACCTACACGAGTTTTACCAAAAAGGACTCGAGAAGGCAAAGAGCTCACCTCTCTGGTTCATTCAATATCTACTAATCATTGCCCTTGCAAAACGCACTACTGTTACGTCAAGGAGTTCCAGCTCACCACCAGGATTTACCTTCTTTGAGCGTGCCATGTCTCTTATGCCAGATTGGGTTGGGTTGCACCGACGTCGTCCCAATCTGGGGATGCAAATATTGTATCTGGCCGGGCTTTATCTAGTATCGGTAGACATGAAGGACGCTGCATACGCTTATGTGGGTTTTCTTATGGCGCATACTGGATGTCATACCAAGCTGACCCAAACAGGTCGGCCAATCGCTCCGCACTTGCATTATCGAGGGGCTCCCAAGAGAACCTCCCATTGATCTCTTCGGCATAAAGCTTGCAAATGAGTGTAGGAATATATGGTGGACCGCATACATACTAGATCGCCAGCTTTCCGTCATGGTGGGTGCACCGTGCTCGATACAAGACAGCGAGATCACCTGCTCGTTGCCTTCATCTTACGATACTTCCGAGCGGGGGACCCTTTTGACATTGCATGTTAAGCTTTCTCGGATTATGGGGGCTATCATCAAATGCAAGTATTTACTGCCACGGCAGCCTTCAGGCTCTGCCCCCTGTGGCCATCGGGGTGATAAAATGCCAAACTGACCATCTCACAGCGGTTTACACAGCGGATAGTAAACAAAGACGATCCTTCATCGCTACAGTTCAATCGGTATTAAGGGATATGGCAGATATTCTTCGGGATATCGAGAACGTCTCTACTAGGACTGTGCATCCTACCATCCGCACAGTTTCAACTACAACTAGTCACCTGTTTCTGTTATACCACCAGGTAAGGGGTATCATTGCTGCCGCAGTATATTAGGTGATAATTGATCCATGGCTAAGGCCAAATAGTGCATAGTTTTGGCAACCCGCCCGTTATTCCTGTACTTCCTGACCCATCGACTGAAGAGACCCCGGAGTCAGGACCGAACGGCAGATATATACATTCCTGCACAGCTCAAGCCATTGCTGGAAACTTCACTACAATCAGCCAAAGCTTCGTTGAGGATATTATTATCACTGCATGAACAATCTTCATTGGGTGAGTGAGGCATTGCTCTCAATACCCTGTTTGCCTGGGCAGAGGAATCAGTAACTTATAAACTTCTACCAGAATCGTTAATCCCATTTAACCAAGACAACGCATACTTCTCGGCGTTTATCGTTGTTCTCGCCTTTTTCATCGAGCCGTCATTAGTACCAGATGTGGAAAATTACATCTCGACCGTCTCATGGTTGTTGAATGCGCAGATATCGAACGGAGACCTAGCAGCCAAGCAACGGAGCAAAGAGCTTGACCTGCTGCAACGGATGACAGAAGAGATTGTGCGCGTAGAGGAGCAACAACTTGGAGCCCACCACGAGGATACCCTACCCCGGAATGACCTCGAACAACGTCCAGAGACAGAAAACCTGACTAGTTGGGCCATTGATGTTGAGGACATCGACATCAACCATACACAGATACTAGACCTGGCTGACCAATTGGATGTCCTCCAAGAGAGTGTATGGGGTACAAACTTTGAATTTGAGTATAGCAATATGTGGAATTAGCTCAATATTCTCTTTCTGGAATCACAATGCGGAGTATCCTTGATTATGGACTCAGGCTCATCAGTAAGCATAGAAATAGAAGGGTTCATGATAAATGTAACTTATATGGTCACCATTCAGTGTCCATATATCTCTTTTCCGATATACCATCAATAGAAGTGTCAAGTGGGTGATACATTTGAATTATAACTAATGCAACCGATAGGTTCAAATTGCTTGTTGAAGAAATGTGAGGCGAGCACTCCCTTTCGGCACACTTACAATATGCACATCACACCTATCACTACCTAGGAATTGTATTGAGTCATACTAGTGGTAGTCCTTAAGTTGCACGAACGGTGGATCTTAAGTGTGGTCTTCGGATGCCTTCCGCAAACCACCCTTCCGAGCCCTAGTAGATCGATAAAGATATTAAGTACACTATCTTAACCACAGCATTAACTTCTATTCTAGATATATTTTTGCTTATGCTTCACTGCTTGTGAAACCTCTGCATTAACTGTGAACGACTCACTGTCTGATTAAGATGGGGAAACAGGTGGAGTGGCATATCAGACTCGCTGTACTTCTGGCTGCGGAGGAAGTCGATAGTGTTACTATTGCCAACCGAGGTGGTCAACGACTCAAACGGCTGGAGAAGGACGTTATTCAATCTTGGTGAGTCGTATACCCCAGAGTAACATTTCGTCTGATTGCCAAGGAGGACACGCCCGAGTATGATCAAGCGCTTCAAATCCATCTCGCCTCAGCCGACGCTATCTTCTGTTGCACACCTTCGACTGAACCATCATTCTCGTTTTCATTTATCGAGATGTGTCCTAAGCGACGATTTATTTCGCTGATTGGTTCGTATAGGTCGCATATGAAGGAGATTGATACGCACACTTTTGTTATCAGGGGATGGTCAAATCTTCGTGGATTCTAGAGAGGCGGAATTGGGAGAGCTGGGAGACGCCAAGGTGACAAAGTAGCAACTGATAGAGATAGGGGAATGGCTGACACTGGACGCCTCGCATACTCCTGAAGGCAATGTTGTGTTCAAATGCGTCGAGATGGGTATAATGGATCTTACCATTGGTCGCGCCTTGCTTTAATCAACGTCCGATCTGGGCATTAGAACGTCTATTGGAGGATTCTAACGGCAAGATGGCGAAGGGCAGAAGTATATTTCAGATGAGGGAGTGCGGAGAAAACGGTATCACAGCTCAGGAGAAAGCCACTTCGCTCACAGGCATCGGGCTTCAGTCTCAAAAGAGAGGGAGCACTGTCATGTGGATGGTACAGCAATCGATTGTGAGGAACTTCCGAACATGGCCACTGGACACTACAAGATTAATTCTAATGAAAATATGGACGTTTGCCTCTCACACAGAACAAATAAAGACCAAACTACTCCGTAGTTATAGTTGTGTGCCTTCCAAAGAGGTACAGTGTACGTATAGTTGGATAGTTCTCTGCTGATTTAAGGGGTCACAATAACTTCGGTCTGGCGTATTGCTTTGTCCTTTCTTAATGCCACCAAGTCCAGAGCCTAGAAACCTACGATAAATGTTTGGATGAATCAAACAATGGAACGAATTAACGCAGCAATCTCTGTCCTTAGCCCTATTATACGCATTGCATTTATATATAGGAATTACACTTCAAGAATTGACTGTAATAAATAGCCACGATCACGGCAGAGGTGCTCGGCCCCTTCGGACATTTGTTGGGTCTAATTTGATCAAGTTAGGACGTGGTGGTGGAGAGCCAAGAATATTGGGCGTCAAACTTGCAATCCACATCTCTTTATACGAACTCGAGATTTTAAACCCAACCGGATTTCTCGTCTTCAGCCATAGCCCAATTACGCGTAGTCGACTTGTAACACAATGGTGTATCTGGCGTTTGTGTTCTGAATATTTCTAGGCCGGGGACCGTGGCTATGGTTTATGGATTCTGCTATTGATGTTCCTCCAAGATATTCGGCGTATGATATTGGTCGTGATTGTGGATGTGGATTCCAGTGCAGACTTTATGATTTCTTCATCTCTTCTCTTCCTACTGTCTTTCCTTCCATACCTCGTTCTATTGATCGTTGTCCTGAGCCCTAAATTAGACGGGATGAACAATCTCCACCTCTTTGTCGAGCGTCCTCTTTGTTATCGGGCGATGGGGTAAATCAGGCACAGAGGCGGGTATACAAATTTGGTACTCCGTAGAATGCTAATTAACACGAGAGAGGCTGCCGTCCTCCGATGATTTGGAATTTACTTATAATAGATCTTCGGTTGCTAATGCCAGCACGGATGTTTCTTTTCCTTATGAATGGCCAAGAATCAGCCAGTACCGGGATATACACACGGCGTTGATCTGATCTCTAAACCGCTCTCCTGCCATGTCTCAGCATTACTTTAGCTACAAGCAGACCAACTATGGAAGCATTAAAGCTGCTTTGACTTGGGACACATATAAACCTCCCTCTCCAAAGTGACACAGCGCATGCTATCTTCATGTACAACGCAGATATCGCTCCTAAAGATACGCCCTGCCTTGCATAAACACCATGAAGATCGCCGTCGCTCTCAGCGTCTTCTCACTGGCACTAGCAGTCCCTCGCTTTCCGAGCCCAGCCCTCAGTGAAACGGGCCCTAACAACTATAACAACCCTTACAACGCTAACAAGGCTCAACCTCCTTTCCAACGCCCCCCAAGTCCTGCGCTGAGTGACACACAGCCTGCTACCCAGCAACCGCCTGTCCCCATCCCAGCTAACATCCAAGGTCTCGACTCATCGTTCAGCGTCAAATGTGGTACGTCAATATACCTAAACCACAGCTAGAACCCAAAGTAACCTACAAAATACAGGACAGTTCACATTCCCGGGAGCAGACATCCACCGCGCAGTATCTCTAGGTGTCAACCTCGACCGCCATGGTCAGCAGCTCGCCAGTAAGATAGATCCACCTCCCTAAGAAACAAAATTCAATATTCTGCAGAATATACTCACACAAGAACAGAATTCCCCCATGATTACGCCAATATCGAAAACTTCAATTTCCTACACCCACAATGCAGGGGCAATGGAGGGCTTCATCGCAGAGAGATCCCCATCGTTAAAGGTGGTTATTTCAAGGGTAACTGGGAAGACTTGAATCAGTTCCGCGCCATTTTCGTACATAATATTTGGTCGATGGCTGATGCGCAAGGAAGACCGAGTGCGATATACTGTGGGACGATTTACCATCCGCGGGGAACGAATACGTTTAATGGGTGTGATGTTAGGAAATTGAAGTCATAGGGAGAGCTGCTAGATAAGAGGCGACTGACTAGAGTAAGTCATTTGGGCGATTCTTGGGAGAAGGGTAAGGGTATAGTTTTCAGTGCTCCGCATTGAAGATGCCACTCCACAAGGGGGTTCTAAAGTTGAGCTACTGTGTTATTTTGTAATAGTACTATAGAGATCGCTGTATATAGAGAGCCATGTTTCAGTGTACTACCGGCTTTTACATCTGTATCATCTACATATCAATTCCTTTCGTCCAAGGAGACGAAACGTTTGGCAGCGCGATCAGTCATTGTATGAATCCAAACAACGGGAGAGCAAAATAAAGAAACGTTTCACTCAAGATTAAAATGAGCCTCTCCAGGTATAAACGCCTTTTCACTACAAGCACGATAGACAACTACTAGCACTTTTGTTGCTACCGTTGCCCCTTGCGGCAAGTATTTTTGTGAGCATGAATGTTCGACACGGAACGAAATTTACCGCTGCTATGAATTATACTGCGTTGTCTATTGGTTAAGAATTCTGCTGGTGTCCCCGATACCCAATCAGACGCATCAGGCCGCAGCGGGAAGTAACAAAGCGAAATCACCGATACAACAGCGTGTATAGAATCCTTTCAACTAACTTTGCTTTTTCCTCGACGCGTTTTCCCCAAAATGGGGGTAAGTATAGGAAACCACTGTATACTATTACTTTTTCATAGTTTGATTCTACGGTGGCAAAAAAGTAAGGCCCAGACCACAGCCGGCTTGTTGCCGTGTCTTATTGAGGCTGAGGACCACATTATGACCTGTAGTTTCCGGGATCCCTATGGCTGGATGGAGTACACGATATACGGAGTAGTAAATGTCCCACCATTTCAATACCCTTGCTTACTCTCTAATCATAAAGATATTTGGTATAATATATATTTAAATGCTTCATTGGTTGTCTAGTCTATAGCAAACACTATCTAGCAACAGAAGGGGTAATATAAGAAGAATAGGGTTATAGAAGTGGCCACAGTTGATCGATCATAATTTAAGATCCGACCACGGAAATATTCACAAAGCGAAGGCAAAAGACAAAAGTTTAAATATCACCATTCCAAACACCGAATAAGCCCTTTAGCAACTAGACTTCTGCGTGGTTGGCGTGGAGCATAACGCACTCTCCTTTTGGCGACGAGTAGTCAAGAGTCCATTGAGGGTGTTGGTATTAGGGAGATCTGCGCAGATGCTGTCGAAATTCTTGCTCGTCATCGCGCCGGCCCACGCCTGCTGCAAACCAGCGCAGCCGGTGTTAAAGGCAAAGCTGACAAGGGCGCCATGCTGGTTGGCGTTGAGATCCTTGGCATTTGGCAGCGCGCATACACACTGCTCAAAGCCGACGAGGTCTTTCTGCAAGATCTCATCACCTTGCACATTGCTGATCGGGGCCTTAATGCTGTCGCAGTCCTGCTTCGCGACACAATCGTGACCGTATCCTGACAAGTTAGGTTGGTAACGAAAGAAAGCCAGGATAGAAAGAACATACCAATGGTCTTGTGGCCCTCAATAACATAGAAATCGGCGCGGAAGCCCTCAACCTCACCGATGAGGCCGACGGTAGCGGCGCTGGTGCCACGGCGAAGAACTGTCGCGGGTAGAGCGAGAGCGCTGAGGGTGAAGAGAGAGATTGCAGCAATGGAGAACTTCATTTTGGTGGTTTGGCAAGCAGAATGCACAGGTAGAGTGGGATGAGGTTCTTATTGTGGAACTTGTGGAAGGTCTGATCCGACTGTGTTGGTCAACTGAGGCCGATGCTTCGCTCCCTTATATAGACTAACGGTGGCTACATGGCTAGATATTGTCAAATCACTAGCTCCTCTAACTAAAGGCACGCCTGTGTGGCTTGTTCCTGGCGATCACTCCTATCTTTCGCCGATCCCCTTTTAGCTCGTAGTGTTTCGTTCGCATTTTGCCCCTAGGGCTTGCCGATCCTTTGATTAGATCAATGCCGATCTCAGGGTTTTATACCATTTAAGGGATATTTTTGAGAGGGATCATAATCTGGCTCCGTTGTGGATAGTCTCTCACTGCCCCCTTTTCCGACGATCAATACCAAAATACTAAACAAGGTACCGACTTGCATACTCCTTCACTGACAGAACATTTACTCCCGACTCACGATTCCACGTTGTAGACGAATCCCATGCAACGCCCCGACCTTCCCCAAAGACCACCTGATACTTATATAGTGAATTATCTGGTTCCTTTGCAAGATCGTCCTTCGCAGCCTCAACCGTCCGGACGCTCCTTTTGAAATGCCTCCCTGTGACACCCTCCACTATCCGCAACAATTCCGCATAACTAACGGTGTCGCCAGCAACAAAGGTCGGTCGGTTGTTGAATGCTACATCTGAGTCGGAGCCGAGAACGATTTCCGCAGTGAGCTTTCCAATGTCCTCGGGCGCCGTCACCGTAACCCTGGTGTCCCAACTACCCAAGGCGCAGATTGAGCTATCTTCCAGGTTCACTACACCGAATGAAGGCTCAAAGAGGAAACTGGTAAACATGCCCGTAGAAATGATAGTCCATCGGGTGCTAGTCTGGGAGCGAAGAAGATCGCGAACATCAAGCTGCTCGTCGAAAAGCTCCTGTGCGCATCCTCGTCCAATAACGTCGTAATCCACCCCGAACTGCCAAGGGATATAGCGAGGAACTGCAGCGGCGAGTACCGCCTGTGCTAATTTGATTTGTGTTCCACGACCGGCAACAAAGCCTGTACAGCCGATAATTGTATCGTATCCGCGGAAGGTCTGGGCTAGTGACTCCTGAGAGTCTGCCACGAGGTCGCCGGGAACAAGCTGAATGTTGTGTTGGTGCAGTAACGAGAGCTCCCGTACCTTCTCCGGTCGCGTTGATGAGATGGTAGAAGGTCGTAAAAGGACGGACACAACGATGTCATTCAAGTGAGGATGCTGGGCGAGGGACAGCAGTACTTGTGTGCCTAATTCTCCAGCCCCGAGAACAAGGATATTCTTGATGGATGACATATTTGGAATATGGACGTATTGCGGACACGTATTCATTCCATATTCTGGAGACGGCGTTCACATATTTTGTATAGAGTAGCCCAGGTGTATTAATAATATTCGGAGACTTTATACGGAGACATTTGTGACATGGACTCCGAACCCGAGATGGGGGCGGGTTCAGGTTAGGAATTAGATTCGGGTCAAAATCTCCTGATATTTTCGGTCAGACACAGAGTATATTCCGATCTGGGCTCTATGAATCTAATATTACTAGTTGCTATCGTGTCCAACTTCTATGTTCATTGATATAGATATCTCAAATAGATATACAGAAATCTGGGTTGATACCCACCACGACACCAGCATTGACCAAAATAATACTATTACGAAAATATTAGCGGACGGTAATACGAGGTTTGCCTATGAGTCCATCCTCTGCTACATACCAGGATTGCCAGGCAAGATAGCTAGGGCTCAGATAGATCGACACTTCGGTTCCTTACATGGGGCAAGACCGATTCCACACAGTTACCTCGAGATCCTTTATACTCGGGATAGAATCTGAGTTGATGAACTTTAATATGTTAAAAACTATAAAATTTAGAAAGAAATGGCTTACCAGTTTCAAGAGCTCGTTAGAAGTTCATTTTGTATTTAGAAAAGAAAAAACAGATTTTATGTTGGGCTCTGACTATCAAGGTACGCCACATCCGACAAGTGCGGGGATCCAGTTATGTTTACTGATAAGTTTACCATTAATTCTTTCATTCATACTGCTATACCATTGCTACACATTCAAAGTGCTTAAGGGTAAGTTGTATTGGGTCTATTCTATACAGAAGGCAACCTTAGCAACTGTTTCAAAGCCCTCCCTGCCAACCCTAAATTCCTCATCCAACCCCTGCTTATCCCTGAACCAATCAGTCCGCAGATAGAAATCCTTGCAGCCTGGGGTGGTGAGGTCACGTTTCTCAGGAAATAAAAGACATCTCAGCGACTATTGGGCTGTTTGTGCTTTCCCTTGAACATACGTTAGGTCTCCGATTCAGGTGCGAAATCTTAATGGACTAAGGGTGGTTCCTTTATCATGGATCCTTGAATTGATACTACTTCTCGGCTATCTAAGCCTAAACCACCGCTTAGCAGCCGGAAGAACCCTAATCTAGGCATTCAATACCGATAAGATCGACAAACTACACCAGGGTCTGCTGACTATAAATATCACGTCAGGCACACCGCTCCTCGGCCCAACCCCGATATGCAACCACCATGTCGTTTCCAGACAACGGACCCCTACCTACTGCTTCGTGTTAGATTTAAACCTCACCTGGAATTAGGACAAAAAAAGAACAAGAGACCCACCTGACATCTACATTATTCGCTTACTAGTCAGGTCCGGCTGAATTGAGTTCTCGTACATTATCCACTCCTCAGTCTTGCTACCTTAACAACCGTAGGACACCATGGACAGCCTGAAAGGGGATCAGGCAGCTGCCTTAGTCACATTCAGTCAGTTATGTACTGAACAAGGTCTGTTAAAACGCCCGAGCGAATTAAGTGAAAATGATGTTGTCGATGGAATCAACGACGAGACGGCCCTGTTGTAGGTGGATTCTCTGAAGTTCGATATTGGGTCCTGTTAATGGGGTAGACGCTTCCTCCAAGCACGGCAGATGAAACCGCAAGATGCTCTCAAGCAGTTCCAACAAGCGGCTACATTCCACGCGGAGAAAAACGTGCACGCGTTCTACAACGTCATTTCAGTGGACGATTATGAAGATACTAGGCGATTGGTACCTCTCTTTCTCTTTCTCTTGCTATGATCGTTTCTAATCATGCATGTAATGTAGTACCCCCACTGGACCGGCCGTCGTGACAAACAAGGCCAACCTATCATCATGATCAACCTAGTTCACCTGCAAAACGAGGCTATGACGCGATGGAGCGATACCCGCAATATGCCATGTGCAACTGCATCCGTGACTTCATCTCCAAATATGGCACAGCGGGCGTCTGTTTTTCACGATGGTCTGACACGCTTTATTCTGCCCCTGTGTACGGCGATGAATGATCGGCCGGACAGTTCCATTCCAGTGACGAAGTCGACTTATCTGGTGGATGCGTCTACCCTGTCGTTGAAGCAGGTGTGGGATATGAAGTACTTTATACAGGAGGTTAGCTGGATATTATTCACTTGCTATCCTGAGACCATTCAGCATATTATTGTAAGTCACACTTGTTTGCTAGGAATGTAATACTAATTAGATAGGTCTGCAACGCCCCGTCCTCGTTTTGGATGATGTGGAACGTTATAAAGAAATTCGTAGATCCTCGAACGGCAGACAAGCTGATCATTGTGAAATCCGCTGATGTCTACTCCACGCTGGAAACATACATCGATCACGTCAACATTCCCAAACAGTTTGGAGGCGAACTTGTTTACCAACATGGCATGCTTCCTGATCTCGACGAGGGCATTCGTCAGACATTATTCTGGGTTGATCCAAAGAAATGTCTTCCTCCTGGACCACTAAAGTGGGTCCAAGATGGAAAGAATAGAAAGGCAATAGCGACCGGGAGTGTCGGGGGTATTGAAAGGTCTGAAGAGATTGCTGTTCTTAGAAGCCCAGAGTAAATCTGTGGGTTTATGCGTTTAATAAAGATAGCCAGGATAATAACCCCTGCTATATTGACAAGTCTGTAGCCCATCGTCCTCACTTTAGCGATAGGAGCCCTATATACCAGTATAACATTGGAAAAATGAAATAGAAAATACATAAATGCCATGTCAGAAAAATAACCGACGTCGCGTCAGTTACACCCTTGATCAGGGTAGAATGAATTAGCACGACCCTAGAAACAAGCCCAGAAGACCTGCAGCCACCACTCTTGAAGTGCGCTGTTTTTATCGGCGTTCAGATCATGTTCATTAGGGATCTGCCTTCTCTCTTATCCAGATTGCTTTCGCCACAACCATGTGATTTTGGGGCAGAGTAGTCATGGAACCTCTAGATCACTCTAACGCTAGGATGCACTTGAAGGAATCCGCAGTGAACAATCCGGATTGTATTAATCAGAGGGTTCTACCATGTTCGATGTATCAAGCATGTGAGCAATCCATGGTGGCAATGTGTTAGTTGATGTAACATCTGCAATATACTTTCGCCTCGGTAAGAATACCTGTTTCGAGAACCAGGATGTAAATATCCAAGCAAGCAAGGATATGAAAACTTTACGCCAAGTATCTACAAGAGCTATCTTTATGGTCAAGTCGCAGCTTGCTCCAGCGCTATTCGACTGATCTGTTTATGCTTGGCTTATGTACATGACGCGATAAGGTTCAGCATTTCGTCATCAAATGAGTCTGGTAGTGTGATATGGGGATAGGAGTATATAGGCTAAGTGTATTCTCCATTCTATAGAACGGCTTGGCCAATCCCTCTTGTCGTCTGAATCATATTTGACTTGGTTTGGAAGTTACCTTGGGGTCCCGAATCTACAACTATACCGCAGTAAGTACGCTCAATATGTTAGAGTACTACAAGAATAAGTCCATCTTTGTTACGGGAGCACCGGGGTTTCTAGGTACGGTAATCATTTATCGCTTGATAAGCTTGTGCGAAGTCCAGCATGTCTACGTGCTTTGTCGAGGAGGAATTCAGTCAGTTCTGCCCAAGACAACGTTAACCACACGAAAGCTAACTTACATTGTGTGCAGGCGCTTGCGATCCAACTGGAGTCAAGTATTACCTGAAGAAATAATGAACACCCTATGCGACCCTTCGCGAATTACAGTATTCGATGGCGACGTCCGCTTGCCAGACATGGGCATATCGAAGAACAAGCTTGACATGGTGCGAACACAGGTGGATGTTATTATCCATGCGGCATCTTCAATTAACCTCGGTACACCTCTTGCTGGTCTGTTCGATGTAATTATCCGGTCCAGTGACATGATCGGAGGCTTTGCTCTCTCATGTTCAAAGCTTCGCCGGTTTGTATATATTTCCACTGCGTACGCAAATGGCCACCTCAGCCCCTCAAGTCACACATGTGACATTGAAGTTGATGAGAGAGTGTATGATCTAGGAAGCTCCGCGACCGTCATAGAGGAATTGGCCGAGGTTGAAAGATACGGCACTAGCAAGGCTTATCAGGCGCATGAGTTCCCTTGGCCATACGCGTACGCTAAGAACTTGACTGAACGACTGCTAGTTCGCCGCTTTCAAGATAATAGGGCGATGAACAAGTTGCTTATCGTTCGTCCATCTATTGTTGGGCCTTCCCAAAGTGTACCATACCCTGGCTTTTGTCTCCCTTTATCCGCACCAATGCTCATGTTGGCGGCTGGGATGACATTGACCACATCGCAGTATATGCGTATTGGAACAAACCTGACCGACCCTGACTCAGAGGCAACGTTAGATGGAGTCCCTGTTGACGTCGTTGCCGACCGAATTATCACGCACGTTGCTGCTGGTACAGCTGTCTGCATCCATGCTGTGAGCGGTGAGAGGGGAAGATATAAAACGCGCGACGTGTGGCAGCAAGCAATGCAATTCCGGCCAATCCCCTGGGGCCTGAAGCTAGTGTGGGATCCAAACGGATGGGGATCTCCGAACCAGCATTTTCTATGTCGCCGTTATAACCTACTTGGGGTCTCCTATACCTTCTTGGAAAAGCGAACCGTGGAATTGTCTAACACACTCTCACCTGAAGAACATAAGGAACTTCAGCTCTTCACCCAAGTCAAAGTAGGCGACTGGTTGCCGAAGCAGGTGCTGCACTTTCGTTATATTTTTGACCGGATGGCTCCCAAGGATGAGATATCGTGGCTAGCCGCCAAAGCCTCCGGCTACATGTTTGGAGACCAGCAAAGAGTCAGCAAGCTGTGAATTTCATGCCAACGATCTGGATGGTCGAGTGGCATAGTTTATTGTGTAAGCCACGGCTTAAGCGAAATGTCGGCTGTCACCAGGAGCGTTGACGATCAGAATACTTCGGTTGGTAATTTGTGAAGCAACACCCGTCAAGCTTAGACTGTCAGATACCTCTTGTTCGTGTGTTCGATTTATTTTGCGGACCTTCTCCCAATGTTCTGTTATCATGTACGTATAAACGCATGCAAATCATTCATTGGATTCAGCTTTATTTTTTGCTAGCCTTTCAGATATGCGGTTGCCCACTGAAGATTCGTGCAGGAGACCACTGTACAGTAAGTTCAACTGATCTGATGGTGACTAACAAGATATTGTCCTCTTTATAACACGAACCACGACGTTGATATAATCCTATGGTTATGGCCGACAAATTTAATGCGTTCCATGAGCAATAGAAAAGTACTATTAACACCAGAGAGGACACAACCTAACCTCCTAGTCGCAGTAGTTTACTTAGAAAAAGACTCACATGGTTGCCCTAATATCATCATATATACCGGTATAAGCATACTCAACTCCACAAACAAGGCCAGTCGACTGTATACACGATCTGATAGACACCGACACCAGCAATCTTATACTCCGAGTATCCATCCCAATTACAATCACAGATTATCAAACGCTGTCGGGACTTCCTCAAACTTCTTCGTCTCCACATTCGTCTCCAACCAAGTCTTTTTATCCTTGCAGTAAAACTCCATCACCGGCTCCCAAGTCTGCTCAGCTGCCAAATCCATCGTACCCGATGTCACGATCACGAGTTCCGGACCCTTTTGCTTGTTCTCGCAGAAGAGATTTGACCCGCAATTCCCACAGAATGATCGCTCAACAGTCGACCCGTTGTTTGTTGCGTTATCCTTGTATGTGCGAAGTGTGTCGTGGCCTTGGGTTATAGTTACATTCTGTGTAGCGTTAGTAGTTGAGTCAGCATGGTTCGTATACATGACAGGACTTACCTCCCGGCGATATATGCTGTTGGCCATCCCCAACGACCCTGTCGATTTCCGACAGTTCTGGCAGTAGCAGAGTATTTTCAAAGCTGGGTCTCCGGCGATATGGTATTTGATTGTTCCGCAAAGACAGGACCCATGGATGGGCTGTGTTTGTTCGGTCATTTCACCCATGGCTGTTTCTTGTTTCTTGTCAATCCTATAGCGAATGCATGGAGATAGAATCTTCTATCACAAACTCTCCCGATTAATCTTTTAGTTAAATGGAGCGATGACTAATACGCATTCCAGAAACATCCCGAATTTCCTAGAGGGAGAATGACTAACATAGTAGGAAATCTTATCTACGAGGACTGAGCGTCTTACATGATATCACAATCCTGCAGGATTGGATGGTCACCCATTCAAGCTGCAAGACTTGAGTGGGGTCGGATACGGTAGCTGGGGCTCTGGCGGGAAGGATTGCTTATTCATTACTAGGGTTGTAGGAATCGTAGGAATCGTAGATAGCGAGGAGGGATGGTCTAACGTGGTCGGGAAAGGCGTCGCATATCACTCATGAGAAACGAAGAAGAGCTGTTCCTAGGGTTTCCGACACGGAATCGTGACACGCCCTATCTTTGCTATTCGCATGTACTCCTGTTGAGCTATCTTTGTTTAGGGCTTCAATAGTCAGGATACAACATATACGTATGTTCGAGAAGGGAATTAGTGGGAAAGTTTTTCTCGTCAAGGAACTGTAACATAGTCATCACAATGACCGGTGGTACTACTACATGAATCCAACAAAGACAATAAAGACTCTCTGGTACACAATTTAGACACAGTGTTCCTCATAGATCAACCATTTCGATATTACAAAGTTCGCTAGCCCAGGAAAATCCTTGCCGGGAAGAAGGGGAAGTATTACTATACAAAGGTTAAAGAAAAGAGGTAATAAGCGAGTGACAAGCATCATTTCCAGCTCTGCAGGAAATAGTGCTGATTAAGGGGTACTGCGAAGATGCAGAAGAGGTTGGGGTATCGTGAGTGCATGGAGAGCGAGTGTGTATGCACTTTAAACTGCTGGTGAAGAAGGGCAACGATGACTATAAAAGCGAGTGATTGGGGACATCGGTCGCGAGGAGCTGAGCGACGTTCCTGAGACGTTCATCTGCGGCGGATACAAGGTCACATCGCTTGCATTCTGGTAGCTGAAGGACCTGTTAGTGGGCCAGATCGAGAGGCAAGCTCGGGGCGCCAATCCATCTTGGCCAGTCTCGCGATTGAGACAATGTACCTTTGGTTGAAATCATTAGCTCACGAAACTAAACCAGATTGCATTGAAAGGAAAAGAATGGATCACATACCCAACCGTGGTCATAGACCTGGTAGATCGTTACCGACTGACCAACAGCCAGTTTAATCTGAGTATCATTGACAGGAGTGTGGTCCATGTCGACATTGTATGTCTTGAATGTAGAAGGGGCATAGGAGGCGATAATCCTCTTGTCTTCGTCATCAGGAATCGTCGAGAGCTTCGCCCCTGATCGATCCTTCTCTTCAATTGAGGATGACGCGGACCCTTTGTACACCGAGCTTCTGCTGGCCATTCGGGGCATTTTTGCAAGACCAGTGACAACTTCCTTAAAGCTTCCCCTTGTTTTGAGTTGAGGGCGCTGAAAAGGGGTATTACGGTCGCTATCGTCCCCAGACGTGCTGCGAGAAATATTGAGGCTGTCAGTGGCATGGTCCGTATCATCGTCTGACGTGCTGCGAGACTCATTGTTACTCTGTCTCTGTTTGGGCGGGCGAAGACCAGGAGAGTGGCAGGGTATACTATGGCCAGTAGAATCGTCAGGGGTACTACGACGGCGATGGCTCTGATGGGGCTGATTCAGTTCGACACGGTGCGATGTGATCCCATCGACAATGATTTCGTTGGGAGCGCTACGGCAGTGGCGATGGCCTCGTTTGGGGTTTTTTGAACGGGCTGGTCGAATGTTTGCGACGCGCTCTGTTAACCGCCGATAAATTCCAGGACGGCGATCGCTTGCCTCATCGTCAGTGCTATCGTCAGCTGAACTGCAGTCATCGTAGTTGAGTTCGGTAGGCGGCCGGAACGTTGGATGACGAGAGGGAGTACCGGCGACAGTGCTGGCGTCGGAAATGCTGCCGCTATCACCATGGCTCTTGTCCGGTGTATTGACATCCTTCACCATGCCGTGATGAGACCTCATATTCTGAGCACGGGGAGTACATGCTATCTGTCTCTCCTCTGCGCTGCGGTCGCTGCTCACGTCGTCTTTCTCGTTGGATGAACGCAAAGAGACCACACTGAATAGTGCTGTTTTGCTTGCTAGGAATAAGTGGGGCAGGGTATTCAAGCTATTGTTTGTTTCCAAATGCCCAGACTTAGGTCCCCCACCTCTTTCTCTGAGCTCTCTGTCCCTGGCTGCTGTCGTGGCCCGTCGCCGCTTCTTGTACAATGAAAACAGAACAAAGCCAGCTATGAGTCCAACCACAGCACAAACCGCAATTGCCGCATATCCACTAGTGTCGAGCTTGCTAGGTGCATCATGGCCTGTGCCAGTGCTGGTCGCCGCAGCATGAGTTGCGGTGGCGGTCGCCTTATGGCTGACGCGAGTCTGGAGCGTTGTGGGTTGAGTGTTGGTACTGGTGGATTTACTGTGGGTGGTCGTCGTGTCACTCGAGGTGGTTGTTGTCTTGCTGGTAGTGCTCATAGTCTGACTCGTGGTCGTTGATTGACTGAGGGTGCTCGTCTGCAGCTGGGATGTCTGACTGTTGGGCCTCCAGGTGTATCGGCCGGTGTCTTCTGTTGCAACTGGCTGAAGCGCAGTACTGGCAACCTGCGCTTGTACAGCGACGCTCTGTCCAGCAGCCTTGGCTTGTCCTGGAGACTGCGCTTGTCCAACAGACTGCGCTTGTGCAGGAGCCTGTGCTTGTCCCCAGTTCTGGCTCCAGGAGCCCTGGCCACTCGCCCCTCCATATTGCCCATTTTGACTGTAGCCGTTTGCAATGGGAGCCGCACTTGGAGCACCCCAGTTCTGAACCACTCGGCTGGCCAGTGGCTGGTACAAACGAGGAGCCTCCAGCGGACCGCTATTCAATGACGCCTCTACCACTTGCATCGCGACCTTGACTTCTGTGGCATACACCAAAGCGGCATTAATTATACTTAATTGGGAGGTGAGAACAGAAGCAAAAAGAACTCCGGGCACTTCCTGGCTTTGTACAAATAAATCAAGTTGGCGGATTCAATTTCCATCATTTAGCCGAAGTTAATATGGAATGCTTGTTTCCGTGTTTGGTTGTTTGTACAATGCTATGCTTCCTCTCGAAACATTGGGATGCCGATCCGAGAATGCAAGACGGCCCAAGAATCCACCTTTGCTACAGGTTCTTATATGGATACTCAATCGAATCAGAGGACTTTAACCAAGATGGCGAGGGGGCTGGCGCTTCCTTGCCCCTTGTAGCCAAAAACGAATTCATTCGTATACCTTTAGGTATGCTTTACCGAACATGCGATATTCGAATATCGCCGGTTTTGGCTTCCCATACTTTACCCTTGGGGTTGCACCCGCCACCACTCCGTAAGCTCAAGCACGCACTGAATTGCGTACTTTATCCACGTTCAGATACATTCATTATTCTATCACCATCTTCCCTATGTCATCCGTGTATGACTTTGTTGTGTATATCCGTATCTCTTTGTTTATGGTGGAGCGGCTCCTTTATCCGAGGAATCCGGCTATGTAAATTCGAGTTAGGGCTACATTCCATTTTCATTGACCCATCACCGCCATGGATAGAAACAACAAGCTGATTGGACCCACGCAAGAACTTGCGATGTAATTCCCAAGGGGTAGGACACAATCATCTTTCCTTTCTTAGATTGTTATGATGAGACTTTCAATGTCGTTGGTGCACTGTTCGGACCCTCCCAACCGGCGACCCTTGATCAGCTTTTATCGCCGGCCGCATATAAATCAGCCTCTAACGTTTATTTTTACCCTACAGCTTTAGGAGACAAGAACGATCATGACATATGTCAATAATAACTGTGGGAACTTCTTTATATGCAACTAATTATTCTCATTATTATTATTTCCTGTTTTCTTTCTTCTTTGCTTTTCCATTGGCTCTCCTTAAATATGGAATGTCCCGCTGGTACCAAGCAGATATGCTTCCTTGCCTCAGGAATGCAGACGGGTATGCCTATCGTCAGTATTCATTACTACATGCAATACGTGTGATAAACCCTGTTAGACCTAATTGGGGGGTAATCCAGCTTTAAACATAATACAAAATCAATGCTGTTCCTGGACAAGTGGCGCAGTAGCGAGCTATTTGGCAAGAGCATTGGAGATGCACTCAGCGACACCTTGACTCTCGAGTGGAGCCTGGGCGGAATTGTCGCTCCTTTGAAAAGGCAAAATTAAAAGGGTACACATTGAGAGGATACTCCAGGTCCACTATATCGTACGAGTAAGTACAACTATGCCATGGCTAGCTAGGTGCACATTCGCCATATACTGTATTTCCGAACGTATCAGCTGTAACCTGGGAAGCAGCCGCTTTGGTAATTAGCAACGATGACAGACTTCTACCCTTGCCCCCTAGTTTCCCTGATTGGCTTTTGTAATATCTTCTAATATCATTTTATTCTTCTTTAGAAATTTCTTACGGCTTGCTTAACATGGCCCACCCCTCTGTGGTCAGTCAGTCAGTTGTACTCCGTATCTAGCTTGGAGATAGCATATCCATCAGCTTCCCATTCATGAAATATAGTAGGAGTGAATAACAAGCGCCACCTCTCTCATCCTGAGCCAGGAATATTACATCTAGCATGGAAATAAACCAGGTTGTTTCTCTTCTTCCTATTCTAATTTAGTTGCATTTTTTAGAAATCTTGACAGCCAGAGCAAGCCATGCCGATCGAACAGGCTAATATTAAGACATTGTCATTCAAAGGCACTGACGTGTGGACGCAACACAGATTCTATTGCTTCTATTCCATGTATCTAGGTTTATGAGCGTTTGTGTTCCAGCACTTAACTAGTAATTAAGCTTTGTTTAGCAAGTAGTATGTTCTTCTCTGACCTAAGGATACAGCTTCGCACTTGGCGAGCGATCAGTGCGAATATCTGAATAATTACCGTTTCTGCGTGCGAAGATACTCAAATATATAACTATTTAATTTAGATGTTCAAGTTCTTTGATCTTTATATATATATACATATTTTTTTATTTTTCTTGGATTCGTAGTAGTAGTATGTCTTGCATGTCAAACTAAAAATTATATATTTATCCGACATGGTGGGTTTATTACTAGTTCCACGCATGAACATATATATCCTCTCAACGAGTCTTGTCTCCACAACTCCAAACTGGACTTTGATAGGGTCTGGACGTTCTACAACTATTTAACTAGGAAATTGATGACAATAAGCCGCTCCTTACTTTTTTCCATTTATTTCTAGAATCTGATTACTCTGTTATTTTGGTACCTTGTTGCCTTGTTGCCTTGTTGCCTTGTTGCTGTGTTGTTCCATTTGTTTATTTTGATCCATCCCTACGGGGTATACTAACTATACTTACAATCTGTCTACCACTTCAATTTGACAGCTGCCCAAGTATTAGCTTTAGCAGCTGTTGATCCTCTCTTTACTCGGCATAGCTATTGTAGGGGAGAATTCCATTTCCTTGTTCGGCACAACAATGGTTGAAAACAACAGAACATTCCAATCCTCAATGTGCATCCCTTGCCCCGTCCACTACGAGATTCCATATGAAATAACCCCGACAAACGAGACACTGTATTTCCCAATGCGTGAGTTTTCGCTAAGCACGTGGGACTTCCAGGTCTCTGACAGCACGCCACAAGGAAATTGGCGCTGGTTGCAAGTTACATCTGGCTCCCGCAGGGATAGAGCATCCCTTGACGGAGAGGAACAACGTAAACCAGGTTATTAGAAGGACCTCGGAATGCTTCGCTTATCGATAGCGGGAACAGCATATGCTGAGGTTGCTACTTTGCAACCGAAGGGCTTTATTAGCGGTAGCAATTGGCATTGATGAGGCTAAACATTGCTATGATTATACATTTGTGCCTTTGGAAGGCCTTAAGGGACCCATGGAATATTTGGTAGTACGGGGTAAAGATTGATATGTGAAATGTGGCGCCGCAGGTGTCTGAGGAACAGGCTTTCGAAGCAATTCAGGAATGTCTTTGCGCTTGGACCGAGAGCTATTGTTTGTTGATCGCTTTGACATGTCGCGTCAAATTCGGCGCGTCGGATAGTCTCCACTCTGAGATGTGATCTTGAGAACATGGTACGAAGAAACATCCTTCGGAAGTACCTTCCAAGGGAACGTTCTGCACGGCAACCGATCGAAGGACACCAATGACTATAGCTAAGTCCTCGGCCTCGACAGCCTAGTTCGCGATGCTACTCATTCTGTTCGTCTCAGACCACAATGTGTCTCGTTGAACAGGGCTAACCAATTACCATTCAGCTCCAGGTCGATCGCGCGAAAGAGGATCAACATGAAGATAATCCCCAAGACCACTCCTCTCCTCAACCACCACGGTTATGTGACAACAATTCGTAGGCGGGGCGGTCCCAGATGTATGCAGTAATGCCACAGGCCGTTGTAGCTCATGTTCTACGCGCGCGGTGTCAGAAAGCTGTGGGAAAACCTGTCGACCTAAGTGCGTAACGGCAGTGCGCTCGAGACTACCTAGGCTGGCGGATTTCGTTATAGTCCGATTACCCATGCTGCATAAAGCTTGCACATGAAGGACACCTGCCGCTTTGAACGCAGCCTGAATACCTATAGCAAATGATGTGGGCGCACCTCTGGAATACAAACACGTATTTCATCTCACAGGCAATGCCGTAAATATCTGGGGTGAATGGCCCTTTCCGCAGAGGGTTGTCGTTCGTAGCATTCTGGTGGAGATTTAGTCATTCGGCTAGCATAGTAAGCATGTGATTCTCGATATTTGTAGGTATAGTATCCGCGCGGATACGCAATGAGACAAGTTCGTCGAGTGTCGTTACAAGGTACTCGGCTAGTCGAGAAGGTGGGATATCATGCTTTCCAGCATGCTGGATGAGTTTCACAATGACTCGTGCAACGGCACAAAGAGCTGGGGGTGATGATTCTGATCGGCCTGGTGGTTCATCACATATTTCGGCTCTTTTTTAGGTGGTGAAATGATGTGATTTCAGTAAGCGGCGCATGATGTTAGGGCTGAAGGTCGCCAGCACAGTTCCAAGTAGCGGCTGTCTTATAAAATTAAGCCAAGCCCGCATGAGCGCTAAATGATTAGAGATTAGACTTGCTGGTTGGAGGTGATTGCAAGTACTGAATCCCACATGACAGACCTGGTCACATCACCCTATCATGGTATCGACACCGTGCATGCACGAGAGTACCAAATATAATTGCCGTCGGGGTTTACGGTTTCATTCCTTCCGACTGCGGCAGTAGTTGCCTATCACCGGCGGTAGAGAAGCGGGACTGGACTATTATCGCCTACTTGCAAGACTCATGGGTTCCCTGAAGCACTAGTCTAACTAGGCTGAATCTTCCACACTGATTACATCGACACCATGCAACTGTCACAAGGGGTAGGCGTAGACAAACGACATAGCTAGCTTGAGGTGAGGATAGTATCATTTGGTTATATCAAACGCGCGACTAGCCATTCTTGCTTGATCCTCCTCACCACCGGAACCCTCCCTCCGTTATCACGCTCCTACCCACCCCTACATGAGTCCAGCCTGTAGTTTGCGAAAGCGGCAGGACGTTCGGAGTGACAGTCTTAAAGGGGTAAACATCCTGGTTGACCATTCTGGTAGTCACAATGGGTCCCTGTGCCACACTCGGCAACTGGGCGTGGAACACCGTTGTCGCAATACATGATATGATCTTTGCCAGTTTTACCTATCCGTAAGGTTTGGTGTGTTAGTAAACCATCACAAATGACCAATAGCCATACCAGGTAGCAGCTCGACTAGGGAATCGAACTCACTGTTAACGCCACATGCGTGCGTGCCAGGGGTGCAGGCGCACGCGAGGCCGAACAGTGCAACGAGGGAGAAGATGGTGATTATGGATCGCATAATGTATGATAGGCTTTCTGGCGATATATGGGTAGTTAGATAGGTATAGGTGTATACCAGATTTGATTGAGGTAAAATCGAAGAAGAGAATCTAAGCAGTAGGCGCACCTGGGGTTTATATAGCCACGTTGGATGCTGATTATATTGTTCAACGGAATATGCGGTCTAGGTAACGCATATGACTGGATATCTAGATGATGCATCCGTCCCTGCAATATGCATGGGAAACTACATCTATCACTAGACTAATCTCTTTCAAGCCAGCTTCACGCCCAATACTATTGACCCAAATAGCTTGTCCTCCTTGTCTGACCTTTTGTATTGGATTCGTGAAGCCAGGCATAGCTCTTGGCTAGCCGTCACTCAACTAGCACTACCGTATTAGGTCTTTAGATTGTCGATCCTGATGCGCATTAAGGACTAGTCTACACCGTGAGGGGCGGCATCTTCTTCCTACTAATTAGAAATGACCACAGATTTCATCGTACAAGACATAGTTACGTAACTTTCAGTCCAGGCTCCCAGACCCAGGACCTCTTGGGCTGCTTCGCATCTGATAATAGTCCAATTGATCCCAGAAAATGAAAGCCGTTCTGAAGGATTGCATAACTAGCGTTCTCCGCATGCACTCAGCAGTAAGAATTAGCGTTGAGCAAGGTTGGAGCCAGAGATCCTAATGGCCTTGGCATTTCCTCCTTTTGTCATTTCTGTCAGCACTAGCGATCTGCATGATTCAAGCGAGGATAAAGTAGTCGTATCCAGTTCACACACTTCTCGTATAACCTGATATGGGTAACTGATCTTCACTCCACACGGCAATAGTGCAACATAATAGCAAACACGACGCTATGGGCCGGAGCAATATTCCCTATTAGAAGGATCCTCATGCTTCTAACGAGGATTAATTACCTGAGTCTCTCAAACTATTGTAACAGCGCTATATGACATGACAGGTGTTACACTTATGTGTTGGCATCCGATCATCTCGAGTCGCCGAGCTCTGCTGGACTATCAGCTCGTAGCAGCGCAGATTAGAGTTGGCCTGGAGCTTCTGGGTTTTATCTGTCAGTGCTTGCGGCACACAGTCTGATAGGGCCACTCCATAAAGGCCGGTTTCATTTCTTGTCCATGCGTGGATAGCCATAATAAGTGATAACGGTCTAGCAGAGTATGCTTGCCTCTTATCGTACTTTCTTTTTTCATCTTTGGCTGCATCTGTTTGATACCATGCTCTGTGGTTCCTTAATACTATGTCCCTATCGAACTACATTCCTTCTTTAGGAATATCACGCTTTTGTCGATAAGATGTCATTTGCATCCATGTTAGACGGCACAGTTGCGAGATTTAACATGGTTTCGAATATCACTACTCTGTCAGTATTATGCTACCGACTTGGTGCAAGCACAATTTACAATCATTACCTACGCTGTGCCAATCATTGCGCCTGACTAGTCAGTCTGTCTGGATGAGATTAAACAGCACATGAATGTGAACGGGATATTTTGGTTTATATCCATTTTAATCAGCAATGAAAAACTGTGTATGGCTGATGGACGATGATCAGAGTCCAAGGCTATGTCGCTTCTTAAACTGCTGTTCTCAACGTAATCCTGTTTCGAAACATAGCGAGAACCTGTTGAAATGCTTTAGCAATACAGCCCAGTGGACTACGCGTCGTATAGTCATCGGAGTGCTACCTGCATTGGTAGCGCACTCAAGGCTACCTACTACAACACGCAGTTGCAGATCTCGTGCAATAAACATTTGCGCAGCTGATGCTGACAATTGTCTTGTGATTCTTTCCGACCGAACTGAACCTTACAGAGCTTGCTGCTCTCTTCAGGACCAGCCCATGACGTGACCAAGTGAGCTTGGTATGTGGCGGCCGATTCACTTAAGTCATTGTGTCCAAGCCTCGATGTTAACACGCTTACGCACTATAACGAAACGGCAAGAGTTTCTCAATGGTGGTCGGGGATCGCCGGCATGGCTTACATTCCACGGCCCGTGTTCGGTTCCTAAGCGACGAGAGCCATGATCCTGAGAGCTTGCCACTACATTCTCCAATTAGACGAAGAGAACCCGAATCGAACAGCATACGATTCAATTCAGAGCCTGTTACGGCTATGGTAATTGCCTAAAACGGAGTCTCACTATGCCTCAATGACGTTTCATCGTCATGAAAAATAATCTCCAGTGCAGGAGTCCTAGGGATGCACAGTAGCGACGTTGTTGGTAGTGTGGCGAGGAACATCTTGATCACCGTATCAAGCTCTTTTCAGAGCTTGATCATCAAAGGTGAAGGCAAGAAGCCCAAGAGACAGTTATGGACTTGAAATATACTTCGAACTGTCGATCTTGAGATGCATCAAGCATTTGTGTTGAATGTGGCAGGAAGGTTGCTACGATTCTTGCGCTTGGCAGGTCGGCTAAAAAGCTGGTTTGGGCACAATCGTCGATTGCTAAGTTAAATGACACAGTTGCCATGGACAAAGCTCCGTGTTTCTTCCATATTGATTTAATCGAATGGACTTGTATACGTATTGTCTAGCGATAGGAACTTGTTTCCGGTCAGCATGGCTTATCTGATCCCAGAGCCCCAGTCTTACAGCAAGAAATCCACAGAACCACCGAGATGTGCATGTCGGTAGTCGTTCTATTGTCTATTGTATAAATCTGAGCATAATGTAACTTCTCTGCACATATACTGGACGTGATTATCATCTCACCCTTGCTACCTTGGTTGAAACTCTGAAAACTAAGCCCAAGAAATCGGCTCACGCCGGCCGGCACAAACATCCTATTCCTCTTGCTACAATGAAACAAATCTATTCAAATGCGCAATGGCCTTCGGGCGGCATAATTCCTGTGGATTTTAAATGGAACCATCTCTGTTGTCGAGGACATGATTGTTTATTTCAATCTCGAAGCCACTGATGCGATAATTCACTGGGTTAGTTTCATAGCGGAAATTAACACACACACACACGCACACACACAGAGAGAGAGAGACGTGCATTATGCCCGAATACAGCTCCCTTTTTGGGGCTCTTCTCGGGTCGCCAACAGCCGTTCAGTATATCTACTAAGCAGCTCTCATTGACATTTGTGTCATGAATATGTGTATGTGTATGTATATTGGGAATCAAAAGGGATCTGAGAATAGCGGTGACTTAATAGGCTCTCCTTTCTTAGGCCCTATACTACCATTTATAAGGTTGACCTACTAGTCTATATAGACTAGTAGGTAGAAAGGTGCAGTCTACTAGGACGTGTCAATAAATATTGCATTCGAACGTAGGTGTCAGCGGCGGAAATATGTTGGAAAGGCATCCTAATACTAATAGTAGTAAGCTTTTAGAGATGTGTCGGTAAGAGGTAATGTCCTAAAATAGTGCTTTCCAGGAGACGTGTGTTATATGGTTGGTATCCAAAAACTCTGGGACAGGGTTGAATAGCTGTAGTTCTCTGACCCTTACTATAGACTATTCTATACAATGTAGGCTTTCGCCGAAGGATTCAGGGGCCCTATCCTGCGGTGTTGGCTTATGTGGTAGTATTCTAGGGGGTCAGGCGCCTACATACCAACTCGTAGATATATTGACATACCGGCTGACATACCAGCTAGTAGGTATGCTAGTATACTACTCTGTATACAGAGTAGTAGATATGTTGATGTATTGAGGCGTTTCCCTAGAATAACAAAAATATAGCAATATAGGCGATTTTCCGGAAATTAACATTTCTTGGCTTCTTAAGATACTCCGTTTGAAGAACTTGACACATTTCCCGTTCAGGGATGCTTAGTGCTTCGGGGCTGCATGGCTTCAATAGTCCGATATTGGCCACGAATACTATTGTCGGCCCTATTGTAGCTCTGGAACCGTTCCAGTGACATCCTTTGGCCAGAAGCTTAGATACGTATATGCTCAATTGTGCCGAGCATGGGAGACTCTCGGTAATCGAAGGAGGCTGTGCAGCGAGGCCATTGGAATGCCAAGACTCGATCTATTGCCCAAGGGTTCTGGCCTGGAATCTGTCTCACCAAAGTACTAGTAGTAGGAGGACCGGAGTCCGGTGGAGAAAAGTATCCCTTTCCTTAGGGTCCAATAGGCTTGATCGGGAGTTTTATCAGATCCTTCCCAGGACATACTAGGGCTCTTGGCGTTCCGGACTGATATGATAGCAAACTATATACCATGGATGTGGTTAGATCTTTGGCTCCGTTTCTTCAAAATATATTAAGTTGTCCCCGCCCAAGTCAAATTGTGATGTTCCTAGTCTAACGGTTTCAGGTGAAAGCGCATGAAGAGCTTTGATCCTTTACCCTAATCACAACGGTCGCGGACATATTCCGAGGCCATACAGGCGATTGGTCATCATTAGCAAGCAGTATCGGCATGCTTGACGAGGGTACCATGACCACACTGTGTCATTTATGTCACGACTCGTGTGACTACTCCGTCCCATGCCAAGACTGGAATCTCGGTGCCATGTGGTCGGGAAGGCATCTGGTGACGTCTGACAGTGTGCCGATAATATACCGATGCCCAGGCCAGGCAGTCACGGTGGTGTAGTGCATATAATGGACACCCTCTCCGGGTAGACTGCACGAACGCTGGACTGTCAAGAATTTAGTCACTCGTTTAACAATGCGCTCCACATTCCTTCTGCTGCCATTTCTTCCCGCAGCTCTTGCGGCTCGACCTTTCCTCAATGAGGCGGACACTGGGTATGAAAAGCAACAGTCGCTGATTACAACGATAGCTGACTGAAGATCGCGCAGCATCGAAGATGTCCTCGGTGACACCCCGGCCGGCACCCTTCCGGACCTAGAACAGATCATCGGCCTTCCTGATTTCGAATGGGCAGCCAGGCGCTACATGAACGCTTCGTCATACACATACTATCGCAATGGTGCAGCTGGCGAATGGTCCTACAGAAACAACTTGGAAGCCTATGGGCGGTTCCGCTTCAAGCCACGCATGATGGTCGATGTCACCAACATCGAATCCACCCTGCCGACAACGATCTTGGGTCACAACTTCTCTGCCCCCTTCTACATTAGCCCTTGTGCTCGCGGAGGCCTTGCTCATCCTGAGGCCGAGAAGAATTTCGTAAAAGCCGCGTATGAAGAGGATATTTTGTATATCCCGTCGCTCTATGCATCTCTCTCCGTCGATGAGATCGCCTCTGCGAAGCCCTCTAATGGCTCCCAGGTTATCTTCCAGCAGGTGTATCTCACGAATAATAACACCGAGACGAAACAGCTCTTCAAGCATGTGGAGCAACTGGGTAGCAAGGCGATCGTGTTCACGGTCGACTCGGCAGCAGACGGAAACCGTCATCGCGCCGCGCGCTATGGTGTCGGGTCAGCCGACAGCGACTACTCCTACATCACCTGGGACTATTACAAGAAGCTTCAGAATATGACCTCGCTGCCTGTCGTCCTGAAGGGTATTCAGACCGTCGAGGATGTTAAGCTGGCCGTTGCACACGGCGCCCCGGCTGTTATTCTTTCCAACCACGGTGGACGTCAGCTGGACAGTAGCCCATCCCCTCTTGAAATCGCTCTTGAAATTCACCAGGAGGCTCCCGAGCTCTTTGAACAGATCGAAATCTATGCAGATGGGGGTGTTCGCTACGGGGCGGACGTTCTGAAACTGCTTGCCCTTGGTGTCCGGGCTGTCGGCCTCGGTCGCCCCTTCATGTTTGCTAACACTTATGGTGTTGAGGGAGTCAAGCACGCGATTCAACTTCTCAAGCATGAGATCGCCATTGATGCTGGTAATCTTGGCGTGGGTGATTTGAAGAAGATTGATGCTTCCTATGTGAGAATTCCATTCCATTTCTTACCCTTCCTGAGTGCTGTGTGGACTAATGCGGGCTATAGGTCAAATGGACAAATAATGGCTGGTATAGCTAAATGGGTAGTTTGAGGACTACCGGTATTTGACAATGGCTTAAAAGGGGACTAGGGGTTGATCATCTACGGCACTCAATTCAATTGTATCATATTTATAACAGGCACCGAGAGCAGGAAGAGCGTATATTTGAAATTTAGGCGGCCATGGAGAAGCCACGTCCTCCTATATCACCAATCATCGTAGTTTGAATCCATTTATCCAATGTCACATTTGCCTTTTTCAGTCACACTCCCAATACATAAGTGATCCTTACTACAGCCTTTTTGTTGCTATACTACCTACGACTTGTACCAGTCGAAGTATAAGTACAAAGCCTCACCCTTGATTCCGGGCACGAAATCTGCTGTGTTCTCGAGCTTAGGATAACCTGTGCCTATCTTTCATGCAAATTTCAGATGACTACCGCTCCAGAGTTCCTAATCCGAGATGCCGGGATCGTAAAAGACGACGACCAGTTCGTTGTCGTACCATTCGATGCAGCCATCCCGTATTTAACCTCGATCGGAAGTCATGAGCAGTGGGGGAGAACTCCCTTTTCGCACCGCAAACGCTGGGGTGGTGGAACTACACAGCACAGAAAAGATTCAAAGAGTTCTGCCCTCCAGAATTATGAAAAGAAGAACAGCGTTTTACGTATCTCCATCGTCGAGAACGAGTGCAACGCGGACGGTCCAAAGTGTTTCAATCCTCGCCTGGCGCATTATCGAGTCTTGTCCGACCGTCGAAGATACCTCTGTGTTGGCTTTGCGTTCGTGCGGCAAAACTGGATCCCCAGTTTATATTGAGTCGCAGGAACATCTCCAGATACCAGAATCTAATGAGAGAGCAACATCTATCTCGAAGTCATGGTTACAAATTGTCGAGTCTTTGTTCATTGCGCCGGGGAGCGGGAAGTGTGGTCGCAAGAAGCAGAAGGAGGCTTTCTGGCTGGATGGATGGGCGGGGAATGATACGAAGCTCATTCGGTGAGTAGGTCTACCCTCCATGATGTTTTGCTCTTCTAGATACCAGCTAATGCTTACTATCGGAAACATGGCAGTGACTATGCGCATCAAGGCTTTCGACTGGCTGGAGATTTTAGTCTGCCAAGAGCCAATCAGGCAGAGACGCTGATGCGGATGGAGATTTAAATCCAGTATGGCCCGACAAGCCAAGAGTCATGTATTCAGCCCTGTATCATCTCGGAGAAATTAAAGGCGTTTCGGATTCACTGGATACGCATCAACCCTCCAATCGGGGCAACCGTGCAAGCAAAGTGTGGAGAGTCGGACGCCGGCAGATTTCCCGACAAGAGGGCCCTCTCCCTTAACCCTAATTTCAATTCTTCAGAGAATCCACCAATAATCATCTCCTACTCTTTCCCCCAATAGTTCCTACTCGGCCTCATAAGGCATGTCGATGAATGCCCTAAATGGATAAATACCGGCAGGAGATCGTCCAGTCTCCTGCTCCATCAGACTATCAGCTCCAACTGCGCTCAACATGAAGTTTGCTTTGCTATCCGGTGTCGCCGCGGGACTTGTACCCTTTGTCAGCGCGGTCAGCGTCTCGGGTGCTGCAGAGGGTTTCGCAAAGGGTGTGACTGGCGGTGGCTCTGCTGCTGCTGTGTATCCCACCACTACGGACGAGCTGGTGTCCTACCTCGGTGATTCGTCTCCGCGTGTTATTGTCCTGGACCGCACGTTAGTATTGTATCCTGGGAATGCTACGCTCCTGAATCTAATCAGAATAGGTTTGACTTCACTGGTACCGAAGGCACCACTACGGGCACTGGGTGCGCACCGTGGGGAACTGCTTCAGGCTGTCAGGTTGCCATTAACCAGAATGACTGGTGCACTAACTATCAACCCGATGCGCCCCAGGTGTCCGTCACATAGTACGTATCGGCGTTGGATAGATGGCGAGTATCCCTGCTGATGTGATGACAGTGACAATGCCGGTACACTCGGAATAACGGTCGCCTCGGACAAGACTATCTTGGGTTCGGGCTCCAGTGGTGTCATCAAAGGCAAAGGCCTCCGAATTGTCAGTGGTGCAAGCAACATCATCATCCAGTACGTACAGCCCCTTGCCTACTGATAGATCCACCTCTAACGTCATTCAGAAACATTGCCATCACCGATCTAAATCCCAAATACGTGTGGGGAGGTGATGCGATCACTCTCAACGACGCAGATATGGTCTGGATTGATCACGTTACGGTTCGTCGTCTACCCCTAGCTAAACCACACACAGCCATGAATATACTGATCCCTTTCTCAGACTGCGCGTATTGGCCGCCAGCACCTCGTCCTCGGAAACGATGCCAGCAACCGCGTGACCGTATCCAACAGCTATTTCAACGGTGTCTCGGAGTACAGCGCTACGTGCGACGGGTACGCATACTGGGGCATCTACTTCGCTGGCTCCAGCGACCTCATTACCTTCAAGGGCAACTACATCCATCACTTTAGCGGTCGCAGCCCTAAGGTCCAGGAGAACACCCTTCTTCATGCTGTATGTCCACCTGTACCTTCCCTTCGATTGAACAGACACTAAACACAATATAGGTCAACAACTACTGGTACGACTCGACCGGCCATTCCTTCGAAATTGGAGCGGGCGGTTACGTCCTTGCCGAGGGCAACGTCTTCCAGAACATCAATACCCCGGTTCAGTCGCCGATTGAGGGACAACTATTCACATCGCCCGACACCAACACCAACACCGTCTGCGCCACATACCTCGGTCGCAACTGCGAGGTCAATGGGTTTGGTAGCTCTGGTACTTTCAGTCAAGCTGACACAGGCTTCCTGGTGAATTTCGAGGGCAAGAACATCGCATCGGCTTCCCCATATGCCGATGCGCAGAGCTCAGTGCCAAGCAGCGCTGGTCAGGGAAACCTTTAAAGGTGATGTTAAGTGTGACTAGTTGTTGGCCGGTATGGTCTTCTTTGCGGTTACCTGTGTACATAACTCGTTCTATCTCGCCCGACGGTATCCCGAAATGCCAGATGATTCCTCTCCCACGCCGCGGGATAACTCCGATCGGAGGGGACTAGACATGTACCTGAGTGGGTAGTTCCAACAAAACCCCGAGCCCAAGCATGACAGTGGGGACTCTCCCTGCTAGAGAGAGAAATCTAGCCGTGGTTGAGATCCATCAAGTAGCCCTAATCAACGTAGTGTTGGGGGTGTTTCTTCCCCACATTTCCTCGGTCGGATTTACCCCGAGACGAGGGGTAAATCATCTTTGCGAGTTCCCGAGGAACGACTTCACTAGCAACTCTTCTTTGCACCTCTTCTTCCCTTCTTACAATCTCCTCAACCCCCAAACGATCAAAATTTCACCATGGCCCTGAACCTAGCTCTCCGTAGCTCTCTCGCACGCCAATCGACGGCATACGGCTTCTGGCTTACGTCCGTATTCCCTCCCCGCATTCTTCCCCCTCCATGCCTGTGTTTTCCCTGGATCTCGTGCTCTTTCACAGCGCCTAGGGGAGCCGACAAAGTTATCCAAATTTTACTAGAATCATAGTGAAACTCATAGTGTCCACTGAACTAACTCGCACCCGCAAACTACAGCGTCCCTAGCGCCCCCGTCGCCCGAACCATCCTCCGCGCTGCAACCGCCTCGCCGGTCGAGGCCTTCAGCTGGGTCCTCGTCGACGCAGAACATGGATTAATCACAGACAGAGACTACTATGACGTGTGTTATACCATCTCCGAGTTCTTACTCCAGCTAACCAGAATATGTAGCTCACAACAGCCATCGCCGCGGAAGGCGCCAGCCCCATCATCCGTGTGCCGTGGCAGGAAGAATGGATGATCAAGCGTGCTCTGGATGCTGGCGCTCATGGAATTCTGACTCCCATGTGCCACTCAGTGGTGAGTTGTGCACTTCTTTCCCCGTTGACTGACCAGCTCTAGCGAGGCTGGGGGCGGGGGTATATGTCAATGTGTACCTGTGTAAGTTGAGGGACTAATTTCCTACCCTTCCTGGGTCGATAGGAGGATGCCCGGAATATTGTGCGATACTGCAAGTACCCGCCTGTCGGTTGCAGAGGCTATGGGCCGCTGTATGCACCCCATGCTTTCCCCGGTGTCCAGGCCGGAGCTCAGTATGACGACAACGCCGATCAGAGTTTGATGGTCATGGTCCAGATTGAGTCCAGGGCTGGTCTTGACAATGTCGAGGAGATTGCGAAGGTGGAGGGATTGGATGTGCTTCTGATCGGTATGTTTACTTACCATGGCTTACGATTCATTTCACAACGAGCACGATGACGCACAAGGTGCTTAGGGCATGTGCTAATGTTCCATTAGGCCCATTCGATCTCGCGAAACAGATCGGCGTCGTCCGCGGCGGAGACGAGCACACAGCAGCTATCGAGCGCATTTTGAAGGCGGCCAAGGCTGCTGGAAAGAAGGCGGCGATCTTCTGCACGGGTGGCGACCAGGCCCGCGAATACGCCGAACAAGGCTTCGACATGGTGTCGGTCATCACCGACCAGGGTGCCATGGGAAATGCTATGGTGCAGTCACTGTCGGCTGCACAGGGCCGCAACGCGGACAATAAGCCCAGAGATGGGTATTGAGTTGTCATTGATCCTGGTAATGCCTGTTGAACTGCTGGTTGGCTATAGCGTACTCGGAAGATATCCGGAACATGTTACATATCTACTTATCAATGTATATATTTCGATGAAATGTTGTCAATCCCTCGGATCCTATTTTAGGGTACTCCTACACTTGCTATTTATACCATAGATCGTCATTGGGTATGTTATAGCTGCTGGAGAGCTTTATCTACATCCTTTCCCGATTAACGCCACATAATTCATGAAGATAGAAAAGATTAGCAATACATGCAGGTGCCATGTCAAGCGAGGTGTAAATATTGCTGTCATCCATTTTGGGATAATGAAAGCCGTCTACCACCAAACACAGCCGATCTGATGTAGTCATCCATCCGAATGCTGTCTTCCATGCTTTACATCGTTGTTTGAGAACGTCCCGGTCGTGTATGCAATCTTGTATTTGAGCCTGAGACAGGTTGCGCTGGTGGATACCCGTGCCTATACAGCCGATGAGTGCGAATATCAGCGTCAAGAGTCTCGTCAGACTCTCTCTGGCTTGAGGAATGTTCATAAATCGGAGTCTGTCTTCTGTCGGCTGCTCGGATTCCACCCTACAAGGGATTAACCGCCGACTGGAAAACGACCATTTCAAGTTCATCTGTGAAGAGAAGCCGGATAATTCCTCATCGATATTCTCCGGTAATCTCGACTCCTCGGCGCCCTGCTCCCGTCGACATAGGATATGCACACTGGCTTCAACATGCTTCATCGCGTGATCATAGTTTCCCTTCAACATCTCTAAACAAAAAAAAATAATAAGCGTCACACTGGAAAAATAAGGTTCTCGTGATCTCTTCATATCTGTACATACTTTGCAAGTTATGCAACCATTTCTTGAGTTTTTGTTGTTCCTTTGACGTGGCATATCTGCACTGGCCTCTGGAGCTAGTTAGGGTTTATGGTTTTTGGTCATATAGCTGGTACCTCAGGCATCAATTTCATATTGGGATCTGAAGAAAATAGAGGAATGATACCCATACTCTCCCGTCTAATTAGCCTGCAGTTGGATACAGACATGGCGTGTCATCTCCGACTATTAAGGAAGGTCTCCTTGTCCGGCACTTGAAATGGATTACCGAGAATCGCGTCGCGTGCATATTATTATGATCGGTTCCAACATCGTACTCCCAAAGTACCGGAGGGCAATGAAACAATCCCTGTCGGAGTCCTTTTCCATTAATTCGAATACACGGTCCAGATAGATCTCAAAAGCCACAACTCATAGTTTCGAGAGTGTCCCCACCCAAGTGTCGAAGGGGTTGTGATAAAATGATACGTCTCCTGCACCGTTACATCATCCGCGAACTGCCCATCCCGATCTCGTGGTTGACAACCTGCAGCGCATCGATCGATCGTAACCATACAGTCACTCAATGTGGTCGATCGCTTCATACTTAAGAACCAGGGTTGCCTTCACATACCTGAAATGGAGTCAGAAAGCGACACTCCAGAAGCGATCTTTGGACATATCATGAGGGCGTATAGGAGACCTCGGGGTATAAAACAGGATGCACGCCACGGTTCGTTGCAAGCCCTGGACAAACCAACGCCATGGAAAGATACGCCTGCTTCGACACAGACTCTTTGCGATCGTACACCTCTACTGTCGCATTGGATGATTATCCCCCATCAAAGTAAGTGCTTTCCCCACGCAATCCTTGGACCAAACTCAGCGACGATAATAGTCCTCCCGGAGAACTCATCACGTCCTTTCCACGTCCTCCAAGTGGCGTGCGCAATCTCAATAGCGTAGCAGCCAATAGCCCATGGGCTTCCATCAAAACTCTCCGCAGAAATTACATGGTTCATGAACTACCACTTTTGCAAGAGCCAAACCCTTGGGATGGGTCTGACCAATTCCATCCTGTCCAAGAGGCTGGCTGCTCATATGACCTGATCGTTCCGTTTGACGACAGCTGCCAGGCGCCTTTGCACAGCTTGGAGCGTCTAGCGGACGTCATGTTCTCTCCTGGGCACATGCTATCCATCCTGAACAACCCGCGATATCTGGCGCGCTTTCGCGAATTCCTCCTTGAAGAGCGCCCACGGTCGCTTGAACTGCTGACATACTACTTGAACACGCGTAAAGCGCTAAAGGCAATTGAGTACGCCAACGCTCTGGTCCGATGCGCCGTCGACTTACCTCCACAGCCGATCACGGTCACGGAACAGGTCGGAGAAAGCTGCAATCCCGCCCTGCAGCGTCGTGTCCACGAAGCGCTTCAAGCACTCACGGACGAGGAGCTTCCTGCGTTTATCACCTCGCGCTGCATTGGAATCACGAGCAGGGTGGTTGAGGAGCGCATTCGAGGTACACTCCCGCGCAAATTCCAGGGGACGTCTGATGCCCTGGCTGAGGTGTTCTGCTTGACCGATCCGTCAAGACGGGACAATCCGATTATCTTTGCATCGGAAGGTATGTTCTTCACCCAGGTTGCTCGCTGATGTAGGGTGGATGCTAATGGAGCAGCACGCAGAGTTCCATCGTACGACGCAGTACGGCATGGATTATGTTCTCGGTCGCAATTGTCGCTTTCTCCAGGGTCCTAAGACGAACCCGAACAGTGTGAGGAGAATCAAAGAGGCCATAGAAGCAGGAAGGCATCACTCAGAACTTTTTCTCAACTAGTAAGCACACAGCCTTCGTGTATGACATTGCAACGGGAAGCAAGGTGACTAACGGATATGACAGTCGCCGTGACGGTTCCCCCTTCATGAATCTCCTTCAATGCGCACCCCTCTGTGATAGTCAGGGTACAGTCCGGTACTTTATTGGTGCCCAGATCGATGTGTCTGGCCTCGCCATGGAAGGTGCGCAGATGGATTCGCTGTGCGCTTTGCTGGACAGGCAGCGAAACAGCGAGGCAGGGGCTAGCATTGAAGATGCAGAGATGAAGGAGGACGTTCGTCCAGACGAGTTTCGTGAACTCAGCGAATTGTTCAGTCCACGAGAGCTGAATGTAGTGCACCAGGTAGGGGGGAATCTTTTCAAGCCAATCCCTGCAATGTTCGATCGGAATTGGAAAGGCCATAGTCGCACCTGGTCAACGACGGATACGGTGGAGATGGAGGCCATACGCGAGAGAGACCTTAAAACCGCGTTGTTTCGGGGTTCGTTAACGGGCGTTTACGAAAATGTACGTCTTTCCTCTCTGGTTTCTTCCCAGGTCCTTTTAGTCTCTTAAGCTCTCAAGCTGCCCTATTGCTAATTATCTTAGTACCTCCTGGTTCGGCCCTATCCGTCCCTTCGCATCTTGTTTACCTCTCCAGCTCTCCAGATCCCTGGCATTCTCCAATCCTCCTTCTTGACACGTATTGGCGGCAGCCCGTCAATACGGGAGGAATTACTGGATGCCTTTATGGCCGGACGTAGTGTTACCGTGCGTATCAAATGGGTAACGCGGTTCAATCCCCAAGGAAGAGATCGATGGGTTCATTGTACACCATTACTAGCAAGTAATGGTGATGTTGGTGTTTGGATGGTGGTGGTGGTGGATAATGACTGACCGATCTATGTACAGTATTATCATCAAGTAGCAGTAGGCATTCTTAATGATGTTTCTCCGAATTCAGTGGATATGCATATGGTTAAGCTATGAATAACCACGTTGGGACTGAAACACAGCGGAATATATATTCAACGAAGGATATTGCATCCTTTACTCCTGGTGTATGTCTTTCTGGCATCTGGCCGGACTCAAGGAAGAGCTACGCCTGTCAGATAGGTTTTTCTTTGTTTTTTCCCCCTCCGTTTTTGAGCGTGTTCTGAGCAAGACTGAAGAGAAAAAGTTGAAGGTAGGTTATGGCTACAAGGACAATGACAGTGCTGCCAGATCAATCAGGCACCAAGCTGCCTGAGCTCCACTCACTACCAAGCAAACAATCCCCACCCAAGACTAGTTCCCCATACACCGGAAACACGTGATTCCCAAGGCTTATCAGCCATCCACATCATATCTGCCTTCAGGCCTCAGATCGCGTCAACCGCATCACGCCCGTCTTCTGAAGACGGATCTGTAGAATGCGTAAGTAATTCGCTGCTTCCCTAGCTAATATAATTCAGAAAACTAATTCTGAGACAAAAGCACCCAAGAGCGCGCAATTCTTGCGACGGAGACCCGCCCGTGCCAGTACATCGCGACCCAAATCTACCGTGACCCACTCGAGGGTGACCCGGTCCAGACCTTCAACGCAGCACAAGGGGTTATCGGTTGTTATCCCTGTTAAGCCGGACCTTAATACTAAGGAGAAAAAACAAGGTGAGAAGAGAACGGATAAGCGCGTTAGGGTGGAGATTGCGAATGAATCACCATTGAGCGCCATTGATATCGCTAGCCAGGCATTGCACCTGGGGGGAGCTGGGGAATGGAATGATGTGGACAATGAGCTTCAAGATGAGCAAGAGGGTGAACAGTTGAACGAGAGGCAAACTGCGGCAAAGGACGTTCTTCCACCCGACCATTCCCTGCCGAACGACATCCGAGTTAGCCAAGCACGTGCGGCATACGAAGCCGGCCAGTATCCAACCCTCAAGGCCGCCGCTGCCGCATGGGGAATCTCGCAGACTATTCTCAAGCATCGGACGAAGGGGCCACGGCCACCACGGCGGGAGGCTGCGCATCCCCTCCAGAAGCTGGATGCAATAGATGAGGACTCGATCAGCAAAGAGGCCCTGCGACGGGTGGAAGAGGACGACCGTCGACCGACCAATGTGCTGCTCTGGGAGGTTGCGAATGACCTATACAGGGAGAAATGTGTTCATTTGGGCATGGAATTTCAGCCTATTGGAAGCCAATGGCCTCAGCGCTTCTTGGTCCGTCACCCGGATTTTCGCAAGACCTGGTCGCAGGTGATAGAAGCTAGAAAGCCTCCGCCGCGTGCTCCCCGCCCCAGTGTTTCTTCTGGCCCACAGCCGTGGCAATTTGCGAAGGACGCCAGCTCAATTATGGACGATGACTTTTCGAAGTTCGATATCCCAAATACTGAGGCTGAGTGTGCTACGTACTTTCGACAGATTCGAAGCGGACCACCTGCCACTGCTGTTCGGATTCAGAGATTCCTCACGCATCTATTAGTGGAACAGGCGAAGAGTGTCAATATGCTTAGCCGTGTGAGAAAGGCTCTGGAGGAACCAGAGGAGCCTAATGAAACGGCACCCCAGGTGGCTACAAGAGGGCCTCAAAGGGAATCGGAACGTACCCAGGGCTTCGCTGCGCCGGCGGCACCGGAGAATCAGCAACACCCGACCACTACAGCTGCATCTTCTCAGCCACCTCAACCATCATCCCAGCTACCAACCGATGACATACCACAATGGCAGGAACCGCAGGTGCCCCTAAATACCGAAAATCCACCACCCAAGGCCAGCATACACTTTGAAGAACGTGAAGCTATGGCGCGCCAGGCATCCAGCGCATCTTTACCACCTCCTACTAAGGGCTTAGCTCAACCGCAGCCATCACAGGACGCCTTGAACACCACAAATTCCACACCTATCCTTAGTAATGCCTCTTCAAACTATACATCTACGCCTTCTCGTCCGTCCATCACAACTTTTCAGCAGTTCTCTAGGAATCACATGTCGCAACAATCGCAACCATCGCAACCATCGCAACCTCCTGACCAGCAAGAAGCTCATGAGCTGCAGCAACCCCAGGGTACTTCTGATCCCACGTCTGTAATCGGTAACGCCTCAACCAATACAGGGACGCCGTTGCAACCGTCTATGGAGTCATTCCAGTCGTCTTCGGCGCAAGACCCGTCACTCCCCTTGCATGCTTTGCATTCTCCACAAGGTCAGGAAGCTCAGCGGGATGAAGCCACTGCAGATTCCAATCCTATACTCAATACCACCTCCCCAGCCCATCCCTCTGAGACCTCCCAGTCAGTCCTGTCATCATTTCAGCCTTCAACTACCTCCATGCCTCAGTTGCTACATCATCCGGAGCCCCAGCAGGCTCAGGAACCCAAGAACTCTGAGGATGCGGCCCCGTCCTTGTCTTTGATCAGCAATACCCCCTCTAGTCATGCACCTGCATCACTTGAAACATTAATGTCGTCATTCCAAGCATACCCGACAACCCATGTTCGGCAATCCCCTCAATCGCGAGAGGCTCAGGGGCCTCAAAAACCTCGAAAATCTCAAAACCCCGCTCAGCCTCGAAAGCCCCAGCAACCTCGTGCTCGAAATCCTCAACAGCCCAAGCCCCAACCACGCCAGCAATCACAGCAGCCATATTATCCGCAGCCACAACCACAGCAGTCGCAGCTACAGCACCAACAGCAGCAATCACAGCAGCTACCGCAACCCGTTCAACCGCCTCAGTCACCCCAAGGTCCCAGCCGGTCATCTAATCATATGGCAAGCAGCATGGCTCCATTCAGTGGGTGGGGAAGTGGAGCTCTGAGTGTGACTAGTTCCAGCCCGTACCACTCAGGTAACTTTGCAACAAGTTATGGCAGCAGTCAATCTACCCGTCCGCAGTATTACCCGAACGAATACCTCCTCCGCACCGCCGTGGATCAGTCGTCGAAGCGCCGGCGTATAGATGACCCGATCCATTCGATCAATCACACGGGGTTCCAGTAAATAGTACATATTACAGGCTTATAATATTACACGATCTTGTATGACTTTGCTTCTAATTTTAAGTCAAGATTCGTTAGTATAGCAATCGTAGTAATTCTTGTCCTGAGCCTTTCTCTTATATCTCGTGAAATCATTCAGCATTGATGTGATTGGCAAATATGGTGGCCGACGTTCGCGCTATGGAACATAGGAAATACACAAGCAGGCGAGGAAAGAAACAGATCTCTGCATTCTGACGGCCGTGGCAATTCTCGGAGGTATACGTTTAGTGTCTTAGATCTACGCTTGACAGCATCATCTCATCACTCAACGACAGTGGCAACAGCTATCTCGAATTGTTGGGTTAGGCCGTATAGCGTTCGTCTACTTGACTGAATCTAAGCCCTCCAGATAATTCATACGTCTACTGACAAGTTTCTCTATGGCAAGTATTTCCCGATTTCCGGTCTGTCTTTAAGGAAAAGTCAGGCATGATTGATAAATATGGATACCTAGTTGAGAATGAGTATGACGATGCAAAGGACTTTCAGTCAGTCCACACTTCACTATACATACAATTTCAATATATCACGTTATTTATATTCGGCTCCGCAACCTGTCACCCAAACTACCACCCAGCTGTCCAGACGTCATCCCAGCTGGCATGGAAATTTCCCTCCTAGCCCAGAATCGGTCAATCGTATCCCAGTACCGATCAGCATGATCTCTCACAATAGCACAGTGTGGGCTATCTGGGAACGCTATTCCTTCAGCCTGGCACCCTAACAGAGCCTTAGCCTCAGCCAAATGCGATTCCACGTCCTCCCACCCGACCATCTGATCGGCCGTAGAATACAGATACAACCGTTTAGGTGCTGCTCCGAACACGACCGGATCATTTAACTGCGACCGCAGTTGCGAAACAGAACTCATTAGTCCCGTCCGCTGGAGACCAGTGATGAGCCCAACAGCAGGATAGAGGAGTAACTTTCCCAAGACCTTGGCAGGCGCAGGTTGAGGCGGCAATGAATGAGCGGCTGCCTGGTATGTACGCGAGAAGGAGGTGTCCCCGGGGCAGCAATCGAAGATAACCCCACGAAGATGAATCCCTAGCTCCAAGGGTGGATAAGCAGCATCCTGACGGAGGGAAAGAGCTAGTTGGATCGCCGTGTTGCAGCCACCATGTGAGAAGATATGCAGCAGAATTGAGCGTTTCCCTTCTTTGTCTGCGATGTTACCCCGAATGTAATGGCGGGCTGGGCTAAGACGCGCATGGAGGACGCTGAACGGAAAGGCGGTGATCTCAAGGATACGCGCGGCGATTAACAGAATGGCTGAGTCTGGATATAGCCTTCGATAACCGGTAACGTATTTCTGGATGCGTTGGGGGGTAGCACCGCCAAGCCACGTACAGAGTATAATGAGTGCTGGGCTGGTGGTTGTTGCTATGTTGGTGGGTTCTGGAGGTTCCCAGATGTATATATTCTCCCCAATTGACTTAAGGGGATCAAAGTCTGATGTACTTGCCATGTCTTGGCTATCATATGTGTACACGGTGCGCAACAAAAGGAAAGAAAGAAGCATTGAGTTGTTGAGGATGCTTATGTTAGCCTAAACCCTACGGTCTGGTGGCAATAGTGGCTATAAACATATCAGTCACGTGGGCACCAGCGTTGTTACGTTGCTGTGTGCTGCTTGAATTTGCGGAGTTTTGTTTATATTGATCTTAGGGTAGGATATCATAGAAGAGTCGATAGTAGACTGATATGTCTGGAATACATGAAACACCCTTTGGCCTTTGGTAGCTCTCATTCCTCTATTTCCCTTCATCGCGAGAATTTTGTAGGCAAGCAAAATAAACCGAGGGTGGGCCATACCGTGTACGATATTCATTAAGCGAGTTATACTACGACTGCAACTGGGAAATAGATAAATATCAATTTCAAAATCCCTCGTGCAATTCATGGTTGAACTGGGATCTTGCGTAAGACTTTCCTATTTGGGGTTTCCCCACAGCGTATGGATTTCCCTTTTCGGTACCACCGTCATCCAAAGACCTAACAAGAAAAGTGCCTATAAAAGAAGATGGCCTAGCTTCAACAGGGTATCTTTGTAAGTTCTCCTAGAACCTGCTCTAAAACATTGATTTTCTTATTTCTGTCGATTAAATCTCTTTTGAACGCCATCCACCTGCCCATCCGCTCTATACGCATATCCTGTTCAATACAGCGAGAGCATGCATTTCCTTGTGCTAGGAGCCACAGGTATCTGCATTGACTAATATTTGCATTTTATATAAGTCAACATCTGACACCAAGTATATAGGAGCCATCGGAAGCCAATTTTGCGCCCTTGCGCTGAACAAAGGACATCGCCTAAGTCTACTAGTCCGCAATCCCAGCAACCTGCCACAAACCCTCGTACAAAGTCCAGTCGTGGAGGTCATTGAAGGCACTCTAGAGAAGGAAACAGTTCTGGACCGTGCCGCGAGCTGTGGTGCCAGCATCTTTGTCTCATTCGCTGGACCTTCGATCGGGACGAAGGGAGCGGTGAGATATTCAATTTTACCCACAAGCAAAGAAGTCCGCTAATCACCCATATAGCCCCTGACATTAGGGTATAAAGCCTTAGTTCCAAAGCTGATAGACCACGACTTCAAGCGCATTCTCATCCTGTGCACTCCGTCCTACCACGACCCCCTGGATACTATAACGTTCAAATGGTGGCTGGGGGCATGTTTTATGAGCCTATTCAGCGCTGGGCAGTATCGAGAGATGGTCGGCGTAGGGGGGTATATAGCGTCATTGTCTGTTGACAAGACTGTGCAGTGGACCTTGTTCCGGGTTGGTGGACTGACAGACGCAGAAGAGGCACCGGTCAAGGCGACATTCCTGGGAAGCGGTGATGATGGCACATGGATCAGTCGGCAGAGTGTTGCAACGTGGGTCCTAGATGAAATTGATCGGGAAAGATGGCTTGGGAAGGCGCCTTATATCTGTAATTAACCACGGCAGTTGTTGGACCCATTACTCGCATTCGTGATATCAACGAAGCGTGGTTCCCTTTAACAGATGCCTATCCTTTCCTTTACTACCCAGTATGGTTTACACTTGGCTCTATATTCCTCTCTCTATACTCTACGTATAGGGAATCTGGATGTCATCAGTAGTTTGTATACTGTGAAGACCACTATTACCTTCAGACTACAACTGATGGAAAAACATGCCAAGAACCGAAGGCAATTTTGTACCCGCCGAATTAATCGAGTTCCTCCACACCAACTTTTTCCCTGCGATCTAACCCAGAGTAACTTGAATATCTTACCCACACGCCTAATTGCTATGCCGCCTAGGCGTGCCCATACTAAATCCCGTCACGGCTGCGAGCGATGCAAAAGACGCAGAATCAAATGCGATGAAGCTGGCCCTCCTTGCGGCCACTGCGCCGCCCGAAAAGCCGATTGTCGGTATGCTACGGGGGAACTTTTTCGACATTCAGAATGGAGCGAACAATGCCAGAATCCTCCTATCTCACTCATGTACCAAACAAACCAGTCGACAAGATCAAATGAATCTAGAGCAGACCCGGCGTTGGCATCTGAGGCATCGCATAGCACATTGCCTACCGTGCCCAAAGGGCGCATGAGAGAGCTACAGTTGATGCATGTCTGGTCCATGAAAACCTGCCACAGCTTTTCCTCGAACCTTAGCGGTGTCTTCCAATCCTTCGTGGTGGAACAGGCTTTCCACTATCCGTTTCTCATGGACTCACTGCTGGCACTGACTGCACTACACATAGCCAGTGGAACTAGCAGCCACAACGACAACAAAGTGAACAATAATCATGGTCCCCTGAACTCAGCCATTGTCTCAGAGTACATCGATGATGCACTTCATTACCAAAACAGTGCCGTTCCTGCTTTTTGCGCTACACTAGAGAACACCTCACCATCAAATTGCGATGCCCTTTTCGCATGCTCAGTGATCATGATGGCTGGCGCAGTTGTTGCTCCTTTCATTGACAGCCGTCGCGGAAACGCGATAGAGAAGTTAACTTCTCCATTCCATTTCATCAAGGGGATACATTCTGTCATTGATAAATCCCGGCCATGGCTGGCCCAGGGGCCCTTTCAATTTGCAATCTTAACGCATTCTGATGATGAATGGCAGTCATTCCAGCAAGATAGCGAGGTCTTTAATCGATTGCGCAAACTATGTTTCCATAAAGATCCGGCTATACGGAACATCCTTGACCGTGCCATCACACTCTTAGGAAACTGCTTTGCGAAAGGCGAAACGATGTCGATTCCGTGGATCGTGGTTGTTGGGGAGGATTTCGTGGATCTCGTACAACAAGAGGAACCCATGGCCTTATTGATATACATGTATTGGGGTGTCTTGCTTAGTCGTTTGAAGGACGTTTGGTGGGCAACACTAGCAGGGAGGAGAATTGCAGGGGGTTTGGCAAAGGAACTCGCCCGGAACAATGAGTGGACTAGAGCTATACAATGGGCAACGGAGCAGGTAGGCATAGGCAAAGAGAACCTAACATAATCATATCGACTATACTTGTATAATACAAATTTGTGACTGGAAATATTCTCTTGATACGGAATCATGGTATCATGTCGATATCATACCTCCCCAGCACTGCGATTTCCATCGCTTTGAGAAAGATTAAATAGACGCCATCAAGGACTGTCATCATTCAGTCTCTTATTCGTACGGTCTGTAGTGACCATGAGCTGAATCGTCACTTCAATCTCGGTTCTTCTTCCATTGTTCTGCGTTTGTAGTTAATGATCAGGGATCACGGCATAGTGCGCCGTCGGGAAATCCAATTCAATCCCCAGTCATCATGAAGGCCACTATCCCAAGCCATATACCCACAACAGCCACCGTCGCAATACTGGCACCGACACGATCCCCTGTCGTTATCTCTCGTGGCGTATCCTTCTCTGGTTTTCGACTCCCCGTCCCAGCACTCGGATCACCTTTGCTAGTACCTCCAGTGTCCGCCGTTAATGGACCTTGATCACGGTTGCCATTCTTAAATGGCACCATATTCGCAGTAAAAACGCTCAACGCGCACATATGCTCACGGAGGCCGGTGACACCATCGTACTTATCCAGGAACCATCGCTGTCCACATATCTTGTCCGGGGAGGGTCCGGAACACTGTTTGGCTGCTCCCTCTGCGGAGCCCTGTAACTTAGGTAAGATCTCATCCAGCGTGTTGGGCATGACTGTAGTGGTGAAGGCGAGCCAAGCGGTGACCAAACTCTTAAATGTGGACTGATTGCCATCGCACTCTACCACTCCCGGCTTTTGCGGCTCGCATGGCTCAACCATGATATTGCCCCCGTACTCCTGTGGGAAGAAATTGCGCCATGTAGTATTCAGTAAGCCTTCCACCGCATTCTTCCATTTGGTATCACCATTGGTCTATGTAGTATGTCAGCACGCTTTTGCAGGTCATGCCAGTGTAGTACCTAGGGGTCGAGAGTATCGCGGGCCATCCGTACCAAGTTATACAAATATGCAGCACCATTAAAGTAGATTCCGTAGTTGTAGGACCATTGCATCGGGTTAGCTGACTGGCAGTTCGATTCCACAGTAACCAGATCATTTATCGTCCACCCTTTCTCGATGATCAACGGAACAGACGTGGCCCAGTTCCATGCCTTCTCTGCCCATTCCGTGTAAGTTTCATTTTTGGTATATCGTGCAAGACGGGCAGCGAGCTGGAAGAACCCTCCGTTCGATACGGAATTCTTAAGATCGTACCCTCCGTTCCACGAATTTCGCTGCCACCGCAGACCACCATGGCAAGTATCCGGGTCCCATTTCTCCGCCTGAGTGTTGAACACGCCCTGGGCCAGTGCGAGCCATGACACTTCTTCACCCTCGGGGAAATTCAGCTCGGCGGCAGTCATCGCGGCGAGACCCCAGAATACCTGGTCGTCGTTGCCCAGATCTTGTGTATAATTGTCCGGTAGATAGTCATTGTGGCCCTTTTGCCAAAGCAAGGCTTGCTTGGTAACATCGTTGTATGACGTGTCTCCTGTCCAGTACCAGTACTGCACCAATGCCATGAACACCTCACCACCCGTCCACCATGTCCCCGGAAGCTTCCCTGGAATTTGGCCAGATTCGTTACCATGATAATAAGTCATCATGCCGTAGGCGGCTGTTGCGGCGGCATTTTTTATCGAGTCTATTCCAGTGTTAGAGTTACAGAACCAACCCTCCATCAAACGGCAGCGGAAATACCCGGATCATTGATATCAAGTTGAATACCTGCGGTAAGCCGTCCCAGCGTCAGCAAAGCTGTGAGTGCAATACTCCAGAAATACGACCACATTTTTATGATAACGAGGGCGGGGACATTGAAACAATAACGAGAAAAGCGCTCTTATTACATTCTGGACTTTGATTAAAAGTTGACCAGCTGTTCCTGCAAAACCTAATGTATACTTCTGGGAAGGCAGTGCACTTGCGTAGGGAGACCCTGTAGGATTGGACTCTAGTCTTCGACGTTTCCTGATTCAGTAGAGTAGGTACATTAGGGCCTAGGCTATGTAACCACGGATATTACAGCCTTGTAATTGACTGATACATATGACCAGCTGTCGGCCCGTTCCATTCTCGTGAGACTGAGAATTGTTGACAGTGTCAAGCCCTGTTGATCGGGCCAGTGGAAATGAAAGGCAGGGGTCTCGTGCAGGCAGCCATCATCCTCTGGCCATTCAGAAAGAAGACCCCAACAACCGAGGCTCTTGGCTTCTTGATAGTCACAAACATGGAGGGTCTGACAGTGTGCTTTACTGGCTGGCCCTGATTCATACCGCTCCACCTTCATTTTAGTCTAACAACATTGTAATACCAGAATTATGACAACATTATCCCCCCTCAGCTATCCTAGACAAGAATAGAGGAGTAGATCCAATCGACATCTTGAGCGTTCATTATTTCCACTTGCTAAGGCCTAAAGCGGCTAGGATAATATGCCCTTAGATAATGGAAACCGCTTCAGGGTCCTCTTCCTCGGTCCCCTGATTAGGGCTCGGTTTTGGCCCCCACGGCCAGTCCTCCAGACGGGGTATTTTTAGGGTTGATCGCTTATCCAACGGTTGGTAATTCTCCCCGCCCTCCGACTCACCGAATGCCTTGTCTTGCCTATCGAACGCAGATGAACCCTTCGACTCTTTCCCCGGATATAGCTAGACTAGATAAGTACATTGACAGCTTGCCTAAAAAGCTTCTCGTGCTTGGACTTCCGGTCCTACAGCGCTAAGCAATGGATACACTCTTCCCACGTCCTGCTTGGCGGGTCTAGTCGGTGTTGTGCCTGACTATCCCTGTCGAGCTCCCCACGGGTTATGCGGAGCAGAGGTTTCGAAACCGGCAATTTAATCACCTACCATAGCCCCCTTGGATCACGGCTTAAGGAGAAAGGATAATTCAGTCCTGCTGGTTCCGTTGATTGGTGAGTCAATCCCCTCCTTGATAAGTAGAATATAGAATTACCATATTTGTTATTCACATTGCTGATCAGAAACCACTACACCAGGTAATCTGCGTATGTTGGACTTCCCGTCATTCCATCACTGGAACGAATCCAAATATCATTGGGCGAGTGAACCTTGATATGTTAGAACAGACCTCGTCCCCATGCGGTAACTGAGTTGTAAGGATCTGCACTGGCGGGTCTCGCGCCGAACTGATGTGAGAGCTACACAGCCTCATCTCCTGTGTCAAGCTGAAACAGTGCTAACAGTGGCAGTTCAGTGGAGATATAAGTGACAATACGTAGTTATGAACATAAGAATGGTGGACTCTTATATGTATTGTGGATTTAATCGGGGAGGTACCGTTGTGCATCGGCTGCCTACCGATCATATCGGCTTTGCCGATGGTGTTTATATCTTCTGTTTGCGTCCTTGCCTACTCCTCCTCTCCTTTTGCTTTTATTGATGTTATTCATTTAATCTTAAGCTTCTATTTTACAGCAAGAGATTCTGTTAAGATTGCCTTGCGGTAGTAATAATTCAACTACGGCCTCATGAAATCATTTTTGGTCATGCTAAAACGTCAGGCAACATACTATTCAATGATATGAACAGTGTTGGTGATCTTGTAAAATTTCCACAGAGACTTATTCTATTTACCCTTCGGACGGGACTATAGCTACTGTCAATTCTGTACTGCTGCATAGCCATCACAACCGCGTCTTAAGTACTACCCAAAATAGGGGAATCGCAGCGACGGGCGGATAAATGAATCCACGAACTAGGAAGAGGACCTTGTAAACGGCTATACACAGGCCAATAGAATAGTCGCATTCCTTTAATGTAAAATCCCTATATCAAAACATCATCATAAACGTAACTCCCGCTTCGGCCACAACCAAGCATCCCCATACTCAACCAGGCCCCTCCCACAAACACCCAATATATCAGTTACCAAAGCTCTCCCCGAGTTCGACGCCCACCAGATCTTCCCATCAAGCAAACCGAGCAAAACCCCCCAGTGCCCCAGAATCAGCAAGGAAAGAGGCTCCAGACCCCTAAGCGTATCAACAAATCGCCTGTTAACCACAGCTAGCCAAGTAACGACCGAGCCCGGGTCTTTCATCGTGCTGTACCGACAAAAGCAGCGCCGTAGCAGGTCTATCGCCTCTTCCGTTATCCGATGTGCCTCGGGCAGCGTGCTATTCTTGCGATTGTTTATCGCGGTTAAACGGCAGAAAGCTTCTTCGGTTTCACTATCCAGACGCTTGGCTGCTGAGGCCCAGTAATCCCCGACTGTTGGGAAAGAACTCTGCGCTGACCATGCACGAGTCATTTTTGAAATCTCAGTGGTTCCTTGAAGTAACTCGAAGACGTGGAGGATGTTTTCGATCATATTCAGACCTTCATTATCTCCTAGTGCTAGATGGGGCATGGCTATACGGCTAGCGATGGTGATAATGGAATAGGCATAAATGGCGTCACAGTTCGCCGGCGAGATGTTGTTAAGAGCATGTCGAAAGGGTGTCAATGCTCGGTTCTGGTATTCTAGTGCGGTGTCGATGTATGAACGTGCTTCTAGAGGCGCCTTTGTGGCAGCTATGTGCAATGATGCAATTGATAGAATGCCATCTAAGAGAAAGTCATATTCAAGTGCCTTGCGAGGCATGGTGGTTTGCCAAACACGGTGGTCGTATGCGTTGCTGGAGAGACTATAACAGGTCTCTGTTGAGAATTTGTGCATGAGCTCCAACGAGCGTAGATCATAGTGGGTGCTGGCTGTCGGCGATTGACTGGGTATGTGGTTTGAGCTTATGGGCACCTGTGGAGAGCTAGGGCTCACCAACAGTGTCTCTGGCATGCGAGCCCCAGCGGGCGCGCTGGAATAGGCGCATTCTATCCCCCGAGTGGTGCAGTTACTGCAAGGGGGCCCTCGCTCATCACACTACGGGGGTTTGTCAGATAGGGTTCGGATACATAGACATTTTGTATCGGCGTTAGATAGAAGGGACATTGGACGATTCAACCATATAGGAGTAGTTTTTTCCAATACAGCACAATATGGTAGTCATAGTCCGATATCAGATGTGATGCGCATAACCATTTTTCCATGTTAACAAAGATTGTTACTTCCGAGGCCTAAAAGGCACGGGATAGGGAAAAAGAAATGCTAGAAGACGCAACACAAAATTAAACAGATAAATGGAAGGGCATTGAACTGGCAGTGTTGAACTAAAATTTGAAAATTACGGAAATTCGGCTCACCTTTACTCGTCTCTTTTTACACTGAAGACAGCCAGTGCGTGACTTTTTATGGGATCTTCGCGGCGGCATCTTGAGATGGCCCATGTGAGAAGCGCAACCCTACTCCGTACAGACAGTCAACTCCTTAATGAGGCGGAGTCGTCGGATGGTGGGCCAGTGGGTCTTCCCAACACATTGTAGGCAATCAGATTGGACTTTTGACACAATGGCCCATTGCCAAGACTAATATCCTTGCAAAAGATATAAGGGTTTAATACTATACTTTTGGTTGACTATTAACTACACTGCACTTTTAGTTCTCCGAAGGCGATGACTTGGGTTTCATGATTCAAAATAACACCTCACAATCTCAACCGTCAAAAGCGCGCCAAGGCAACTAAACCATTGCATTTCTCTAATTCGGTGAATACATGCTTACTCTCATGCAACAATGTTCGAGATTCTCTTCTTAGTCTGTAAAGGGAAATGAACGTCGATATATTCACAGATTTGACCTGGCATTCCTCTGCCATTATCTATTCATTGGTCCTTTCTCCGCTCGTTCCATGATCGGTCAAACACATTCAACGAGCGTTGTGCTGTTATGAAAACATTAGTTTTCCAAGACAAGATTAGGTTTGTCGATATGATGCAAAGGAAGACATACCGGAAGGAACAATATCCAACGCCTTGACAGACAGATTCGGTGGCTGTTGGAGCATATAAACGGCAGCCTGTGCAATGTCTGGCGCCACGAGTGGCCTAGTCACATTTGAGTACGCACCGACTAACAATAACAGGTAGAAGACAATACATACTCATATCCTTCAAAAAAGGAATTATACATCTCCTTGTCATGACCCACCCGCAGCGAATGGAAATTCGTCGCGACACATCCCGGTCGCAGTGCGAGCACGCGTATATCCGTGCCACTCAGCTCATTCCGCAAAGCGTTGGTAAAAGCCTCTTGGCACGCCTTGTTGGCATGATATACGGCTTCGCCTGGGAATGGCGGGACCTCCAGGCCTGTGACTGAGGTAATGTTTAAAATAGTCCCAGCTTTCCGCCGAAGCATGGAGTGATTGAGTACGGCATGGGCCATGAACATGTACCCGTTGATGTTGGTGTTGTTCATCGTTAGGATGTCTGAAACTTTCAACTCTGGGAATGGACTCGGCGCACCGAGGGCAAGGCCCGCCTGTACGACGTGTGTTACAGGGTGGTTCAATATCAAAGGGAAGTTTGGGGACTCACGTTGTTGATGAGAACATCGATATCTCCCATCTCTTCGATTGCTGACGACACCGCTGCTTCGACGCTGGCATAATCCCCAACATCCACGGTTCCATATGTGATTTTCACATCTGATGTCGCCGACAGCTTCTCTTTCAGCTGTGTCAGCTTGTTCTACATGTAACATTAACTAGTGTGCCTGAGACGCAGAATATCATGGTGGCGTACCTCAGAGCGTGAAAATAGAATCACGTTTGCCCCAGCTTCAACCAGAGCAGAGGCGATAGCTTCCCCAATGCCCATAGAGGCACCTGTCTGTTGTGATTTCTTAGCATCATGCAACAATATCTTGTGTCAAATGCAGAAGCACCTACGAGAAGGACATTCTTTCCACGCAATGACATTTTGATGGTTGGGAGATATATATCGTACTGTTCTGTCTAGAACAAGAGTTTGTATGACTGACTTCTTTTCTAAACGATTTACCAGACAACAACAATTAAAAGGTATTTCTATTTGAGTCGCTTCTCAATATATTTCCTATTGAATTAATAATCCAAAGTTGGCCCTTGATATTGAATCAACCCTAACGGCTACTCATCGGTGATGTCAACTTGGTCAAAAGTGGGTGCCTTAAACGAATCACGGGATTTCCTCCGATTGTTCTTCCCGGACAGGCACGCGCTAGTCCGGAAGTGGACTGCGGAGTACCCAATGAAGTTAGCGCGTGCGGACAAATTGCCGACACCTGATTTGCTTGAGACTTCGGCAATGGATTTCTTATAGCATCCGGTGTGTGTCGGCTTAAGTTATTATTCGCAAAAGAGTTGTTGGTTGATTTGCGTATCTTTTTTAGCAAAGGCTTGGTGCTCTCCAAATGGTCGTCCGTCTCCCGAGTACGATCTGGAAATCTTTCGGTGCAGTACCTGCAGTCCGTCGCTTATCTTCATCTCCACCCCGCTTTCACATACCAACAATGACACACACGAATGAGGCTGCCACGGCTCCCAATGAGGGTGGGAGTAAAGAACAGCAGTTACCCCCTCTTTCCTTGAAAGACTTCGGCGTGTATAATCGCATGGCAGCACAGATGGACCAATTCGTACGTCCTTCCATGCTTGTTGAGGGCAACTAAGATCTTCACCAACCGATAATTCATTAATCATTACTAACGGGCACCAGCACAACCATTTTCGCCTGTATTGGAAGGAGCTTCAGAACGCATGTGAAACCAATGGGAAGCGGTCTGGCGGACTAAAGCCCAAGCAACTGATCCTTACAGGGCTGCGTTTCTGTTCTCAGCTTAACTTCCACCACAGTATTGAGGAAGAGCATATATTTCCTGTGCTAGCTCGAAAGATGCCAGAGTTCCGACAGAAGAAGACTCTATTGGCACAACATAAGAAGATACATCGTGGACTGGAAGAACTGGAACAGTACTTAGAGAAATGCCGCTCCGGAGAGCAAGACCTGGAACTGACAGAGGTGAAACGATTAATGGACGCGTTTGGGGAAGTGTTGTGGACGCATCTCGACGAAGAGGTTCGGACCCTTGGTGCGGAGAATATGCGAAAGTACTGGACTGTGGAGGAGATGCGCACACTTCCTATGTGAGCGCATAGTGGTGCGAGAGGACAAATCATGGATGTCACAAGATCACTGTACCGGTTCACCCTGTGGTCCGCCGTTTAGATGTCTAACTCACGCTTCGTTGCAAATCCTCATTGCGGTCCACGTGCTCCTGCCTCATAAGATGGCAAATCTTGTTTACTGCTTCCAGTCGTCATGCATGCATGTTGCCAGCGTGGTCAAATCCCTCTACGGCGCCTTGGCAGGCTGTCCTGGCTTTTATAAACTTACCGTGAAAGCTGAACCGCTTACGTGGGAGTATGACGACGAAAGTTATTTTAGCGAACCTTGGCTCGAAGGACTCCTTCAAGCCCTTTGTCACACAAGTTAGGAGAGTAGGCCGACAAGGGGAGCCTAGTGCCGCGCGGATTTAACCGTCCTCAGCCAGTGGATTATTGTTTGCGGTAGCCACGCGGACAAGGGGCATTCCAGCGGGCGAGTTTGTTGATAGCGTGATGGCAACACCAGAGTTGGGCTGGAATGCGGAGCTGAAGAATGCACCCTATCCCTTATTGTCCGTGCTACCTCATAACCGAGCGAATTACATCCTCAAATATGTTGCTGCTAATAATAACAGCTTCGTGCCTTTCCTGTGATTGGACATGTAAACAATATTGCGTCACTGTCGCTTGATACTCGATTGCATGCTGACGTGCCTGGGCCCCGAAGCCGTATGTGTCAGACTCGGCCTGGCTTTGCTTTGAGTTCTTACTATACCTCCATGACTGAAGTAGAGTTCGACACTGTGAGTCTTACTTCCGTTGGCGGCAACTGCGATACCTACCTATTAGCCAGCAATGATCGTCAAGAACCTTATCCCAGGCCACACCCATGGCCGAGGTAGATGATGATCTGCACTTCCTGAATCGGACTCAACCAACAAAGCACGAGCCGCGTAGGTCAAGTGGCTGATCTATGCTTAATTTCACCAATGTTTGTTTGTTAGCTGTCCTGTTTCATAGTCGTGGTCACTGCAAACCTACCTAAAGCAGGCACGCCACACGGGAAGCTGAAGCGACAGACACGAAACTCCCATGTGCCATGATTCTCCACAACCCGATCCGATGGCTATGCCTCGTGCAATCTAAGATTAAGACGAGATCAGGAGATATAGCTGCCCCGATTCCCTAATCCGGCCGACCTCATCTCGTCATACACAGCTATAAGACGATCCCATTGTACCGGCCTTCTCTGTCTAGCAATCCGTTTATCCACAGCCGTTACCACGAAACAACTATCTTTCCCCGTTGACCAAACGGACTACCCATCCATTATGAAGCCCACACACGCCTATCTCACCGCCGCCCTCATCAGCGGAGCCCTAGCCGCCCCAGGCAGCACGCTCGCCCAGCGCATGCGTCATAGATCACTAGACCACCTAACCCTCCCCCTACAAGGCGGAGGCTACGCCACAGATTCCGAGGCCAGGGTAGCAGGGGCCGCCGTCCAATACAGCAACAACTGGGCGGGAGTAGTACGCGAGCAAGCACCTCCCGAAGGCCCCTATACGGCCGTAACAGCAACATTCACAATCCCCTCCTCCACCGCCATCGCCAACCAAAATGGAGTCCAAGCCGGTTCCGTCTGGGTCGGCATCGACGGAGGCACCTACTCGGGGGCTATCCTCCAAGCCGGCGTGGACTTTTACGCCGATCCCAATCAACAAAATCACGCCTGGTTCGAATGGTACCCGGCCTATGCGACCAATTTCCCCAATATCGATGTCAATGAAGGCGATACGATTGTCTCTACGGTACGATCGACTTCCCCAAGTGAGGGTATCGCTATCATCGAGAATAAATCCACCGGTCAGACGGTGTCACAGACGGTGAATGCTCCTGCGCCCACGGCTACCTTGGCAGGCCAGAATGCGGAGTGGATCGTGGAGGACTTCCAGTCGGGAGATTCGATGGTCGTCATGGCTAACTTCGGGGAGGTTCAGTTCAGCGGTGCACAGGCTGAAGCTGGGAATGCTAAGTTTGGATTGAATGGCGGAGAGGTTATTGAGCTGAAGCAGAATAATAAGGTGCTTACTCAAACTGAGGTTACGGGGGATCAGGATATGACGGTGAGATTTATTGGAGCATGATTGATTTTACATGCTTTTTATTTTCTTTTCTATACTTTTTTTTTTTTTTTTTTTTTTTTTTTTTTTTTTT